AGGCTAACAAGGCATCTGCCCTGGGCATTTGGGGGGCGGCGTTTTTTGCCGCCCCCTGAAAAATGCCGCCCAAGGCAAATGCCTTGTTTGCCTCGCGGCTAATACGTCCCTGTATATATATATATATATATATATATATATATATATATATAGTGAGCTCTAAGCCATTTAGCTTTCATATGAAAGGACAAAGGGGTGCTTAGTCTCCAGATTAGATACACTGTAGAGCCAGGGACTCCCATTGACTTAGTACTATGACCTAATGACTCCTCCTACTTTAAAACAGGGCCAGGTGACCAAAACTCTAAATATAACTAAGCAGACTCTCCCAGATGCTCTTTAGGCGTTTTCACTTTAGACTTGGTCCGAGATGCATTGTGTTTTACTGAGTTCAAACTCGGCTAAGCAAACAGCAGAGTCTATAAATGCTTCTGTCTCTGAATAAGTTCTTTATTTTTTTTATAAGGTAGAATATGAATATTTTTATTTTTGTGGTTTTGATGGAACCTTATAGCTTTGTTTTGTTGTTTTTTTTAATTTTATTTAATTGACCTAGTTTCAAGAGTAGACATTATCAATATCAAGGGCTTTAATGACAATGAGGTAGATTATAAAAGCTTTTTATGGGTTCCAGGAAAGCCCCCTGCTAATATTCATTATTAGAGACACAAAGACAGATAGATATGATTATGTATTCATTAGAATTAGCTTGGACAGTATGATGGTCTTATTCATATTTGTAATATGTTTCAGATGACCAAAAGGTTGCAGAAATGGGACAATCAGCGTAACTGCTAAATATATACACATAATGAAAATATAATGTATATATTTTTCAAAACATTAATAGGTCAATTTTCCTGCCATTTAGTTCACATATATTAGGATACAAGAGGATCATCATGAAGATATAAATTGGCAAACCTTCCAAAGGTTATTAAACAGGAGGTGGCTGAGCTTCTCCTTTGCTCACGCTCCACCATTTGTTCGTGTAATCCCATCCCATCTCACCTTACCAGATCTCTCTTCCCTTATCTTGTGCCATCCTTAACACATATCTTCAACTGCTCTCTTTTTTCTGGCATTGTCCCATGTCCTGACCCATCTTCCCCTTCTGACTATAGTCTTATATCCCTGCTCCCTTTCTGCTCAAAGGTTCTTGAACTACTTGTCTTTACTTTTTGCATGCTTTCGCAGTTCCAACTCTCTTCTTGACCCTCCTCAATCTGGCATCCGTCTGCTCCATTCTACAGAAACCTCTCTGATTAAAGTAACTAACAACCCAATCGCAGCTAAAGCCAAAGGCCAGTCCTCTATACCAATTCTTCTAGACCTCTCTGCTGCCGTTGACACTGTTGATCATGACTTATTTCTTCAAAATTTTCAATCCCTTTACCTCTGTGAAACTATCCTTTCTCATCCTATCTCTGTCAATGTTTATTCATATCTTTTTTTTAACACCTCCTCCCCTCATCCCCTCGTCCTGGCTCGGTTGGAGTCCCCCAATGTTCGGTTGAAGTCCCCATTTGTTCTGTCTTTATAGTTGGCACGTGTATTAATTCCTTTGGATTCCACTACCACCTGTTTTACCTATAACACCCAGATATATCTTTCCTCCACTGTTTTTTTCCATGCTATCCTAGAACACGTTACCAGGTTGCCTTTTTTCCACTTCCGATTGGATATCCGCCTGCTTTTTGAAACTCAATCTCTCAAAAACTAAGATTCTTTATACTAATCATCCTCTTTCACTCTCCCTGCAAGTTTATGGTACCCACTTCAGCCTGTCCTTGCAAGCTTGCTGACTTGGTGTTATTTTTGATTCTGGCATCACCTGGTGTCATGTCTAGTCTGTTGCCAAATCCTACCGATTCTACCTTAAAAACATTGTTGGCGTCCACCACTTTCTTAGCAAGATATTGCTAAGGAGCTTGTGCATGCTCCAGTAATTTGATGTATTGAGTACTGTAATTCTCTCCTAATTGGTCTCACCAGAAACCATACTGCCTCACTACAATCTGTAATGCTGCTGCCAGGTGGATTTTTCTCTCCTGCTGCTACTCTCACACCTTGCCCTCCCCTGGTCAGTGCCCTTGTCAGTACTTACATTGGCATTCTGTATCCTATAGGAGTCAAATTAAAATACTAACCCTTATGTATAAAGCTTTAAACAGTTCTAGCCCCTGTTAAATTTCTTCACTAATCCGTGGCTGTGCTCCTTCTCCATCTCTCCACTCTACTGCTAACTCACACTTGCAGGTCTTCTAATGGGCAGCATCTTTCCTTTGGAACAGCCTGCCTACTCCATCAGACTCTCCCCTAGTCTTCAATCATTTGCAAAGTTCCTCAAAACAACTTTTGAAAAGCTTGTGGCTTCCCAGAATAACTTCTATTTCATAAACTCCTCTCTTGCTCTCCCTTAACGGGGATTACTCCACTCTCACCCCATAGTTCTGCTCCTTTCCCACCCTGTCACTTTATTGGTATCCCCCAATCTGCCCTTCCTTTTGTGCTATTATAACGCACCTCCTCTAGATTGTTAGCTCGTTTGAGCAGGGTCCTCATCAACTTATTGTTCCAGTAACATTTTGTAATTGTTTCATTTATGAAATATTCCCCTTTGTAATACTGTAAAGTGCTACAGAATAGGTTGGCATTATATAACAATAAAGAGCACATTACATACTAGATTAATAACCCAACTGAGAAGGACAGAAACAAGTGCCAGCACCACAGGTGCAAACATCTACTCATGGATGGCGCATTCCTAAACCTAAAGCACTTGTGATGACTACTCTGCAAACATTGCAGCACACAACTACTGGACCTCGGACACCTTGAGGGAATGTTGCCATCTTAAACATATGCAAGTGGTTTATCATTTTCCCTACTTATATTTTACTTTATTCTATATTAGTTTTCACTTTATTCTATATTAGTTTTCATGGTTTGCTTAACTTAATTTCAGTTAAGTACTATAGATGGGTCCCTAAATTTTATTGAATTTTTTTGTTATTGAAAATATATCCTGAAGTCCAAATAGTTAGGTTAGGTAGTGATTCTCAAAACCTTTCTTCTGCACTACACAAGTTTACCTTAATGGAACACTATAGAGTCAGGAATTTAAATGTGTATTCCTGACCCTATAGTGTTAAAAGTCCCCCCACCCCCCTTTGCCCTCCTTAAAAAACTGTAATACTTACCTTTATTCCAGCTCTTTGAGATTGACAATCTCAGGCACTCCAATGCTTTCCTATGGGAAAGGCTTAGATAGCTTAGATAGTGAATTCTGATGATCACAGCAAAGAAGGCACCTTTAGTGTCCATCTGAGTTACTGCCACTCTAGGTGTTCCAAGGCAGTAATGTAAACGCTGCCTTTTCTCTGAGAAGGCTGTATTTACATTAAGAAGTCTACAGGGACATACTATGCACACCAGAATAACTGCATTAAGCTGTATTGTCCATTTAAAGACCGTATTATTATATAAATTGCAGTTTTGAAAGGCATTTGATATTGTTAATGTATGGAGTTTGCTTCAAGTTGAACAATAAAAATCTGATTGAGAAAAGTGGCCTAATATTCAAAGAATACCTTGCTAAACTGTACCAATGTGACAGGTAAAGCTAAAAACTAACCAGAAGGGCTTCACGGAGAGATTTTTTATACAGCGTCTCATACTCGGCTTTTATGTTTTTTATGTCAATTTCTGAACGTGACACCATGACTCTTGTGAGTGTCTGATTACGGGTCCCAATGCCCTGCAAAGGAAATTGAACCATATAAGATCAGGCTGAAAAGTAACAGATTTGTTTTCTAAATTAACAGTAGTGCTATTATTTACAGTCAATCAATATTTTTCTTTTTATCTAATATACCTTTAATTTAAAAAGTAGTGACCAATATACATGTAAAGTGTTTTAACGTTGACAAGTAATGACATTGTTATCAAAATTGAAGTGAAAAAGAAAATTGACATAGAGAAAGGGTACACACTTGAAATGGTTCCTATTACCTGGAAATCTTTATCTTCCACAGCTTTAAAAGAGAGCAAGCTTTTCTAGTCACAATACAGCTGTATTTCTATTGTTTCCTTACTAACTATGGCCTTGATTTACTATTTCTAAATAAGTTTTTCAAATGATTTCATATATTTGTATAAACGTTTAAAATTACTAAATATTTTGAAAAATATTTTAATATTTTGATATTTGTAATATATATTGATTTATATATATATATATATATACACACAATATGTTTTTTGATATCTTTATATATTGAAAACATAATTTTACATGTTTATCCAAAAATATGAACTTATTCATAAAGCTCATACAAAAATATTAAATTGAGGCCTATAAAAGAGAGAAAGCCCTACAAATGTGTACTCATATAATGCATGTCAAAACATGCAAGGACAAATCTAATAGGTGGCAAAACAGGCAGTTGCCTTGGGACCTAAACATCGTAAAAGGGCCCACAATACCCAAATTGCCACTCTAGCTGTTTTTCTTTGCTTACCACCTAGAAATATAGAAATTTAGCCACGTTCAAGAGAAGGTGAGAGGCATAGATGAACATTGAGAATGAAAGCATATGAGATTTCAGTAAGAACATGCTGACACTATGCAAACATAACAGCTTGCAGTCAATATGCATAACCGCATGTTCATCTCCTGAAATATTAGGTGAGGGAGTGTGGTAATGAATCTATTAGTTTCAGATGAGTAAAAAAGTTACCTATTAACAGAGTGTAGGAAAGATGCACAGTTACAAGTATAGACAAGCAATATGTTGTAAGTAGGAATATGGGTGTTCTTCTGTGATTATGGTGAGGATTAATATGTTAGCAGATCGTGGAAGGGAGGTGAGAAGGAACAGCAATGTATGGAGAGATGATGTTTCTGTTATAACAAGTTTGCCGTCAGGAAAAGGTTACTCTGTTGTGGGGATAATGGACTGGTGTACATGTAGGTGCAGAGTGGAGAGTACTTTGGGAGGGGTGGGCATTATGGTAAGAGGTGGCATGGACTAGTGACTGTGTTGAGTATGGATATGATAATGTGGATTAAGAAAATACTAAGCTTAGAGAAAACAGATGATGCAATGCCTGTAAAGGAAAAGGATACAGTAATGAATTTAGACATGGGAGACTATGCAGCAGAAATGACTGAGATAGAGTTCGGAGATTTAAGATACTGGGAAAATATTGGGAGTGGGTGGTGAGTATAGAAGGTTAACAGAAGTGACAAAAATGGATAAAGTGAAAAAAAATGGTTAGCTTATAGTGGGAAAAAAATTACCAAGACCAGTAGCTTACCCAATCAATCAAATACTATCATTAATCCGGATGGTGCTACACAATTACTGTTCTAATGCCCAGTTGCTAATTTTTCTGTTTATTATAAATCATTTTTAAACAAAATATTAAACAAAAATACAATCATGGGTCTTTATCACTTATTCACACCATAGATGTGATTAATCATGTAACATCTGTTCAATATAGATCTAGTTACATTTTTAAAACGTTACCTTCATTGCCAAATGCAGCTTTTCAGCAAAGAATGCTGGCTTGTTTGTTACACATTTCACTACAATTGAAGGAAATACATGTTTAGGGTTATTTGCTACAGTTAACAAGTCCACTTTTTAAATGTGCTGTGCATCTTAGAAAAATATTGGATACAATTGTGTTGTTTTCCAGTTTCCTACATTATACGAATTCTAATAAAATTACTTATTCTGACAGCTAATATTCTACATGACATCCTAACTGTAACATTGCCATACAAATACAGAATTATAGGAACACTCCAAGGTAGATTAAAATAAGCCATACAAAAGTGCTAACTAAAAGAAAAATACAGTGTAAGGAATACAAAACTGTATTTTCTTGCTTCTCTCACGGCCCCCAACCTCCCGCACCACTGAAAGTTAAATAACCATTTCTTTCACTCACCTTATTGAAGTGCAAATGTCCCTTGGTGCTGGCTCTACATCAGCACACATAATGCCTTTCCCATAGTAAAAAATAATCAGTGCTTTCCTATGGGGATTTTGAGGATGCTGGACATCCTCATGCAAAGCGTGAGGACATCCAGCATCATTTCACTGAGTCAAACACTGTAAAACTTCAGGAAGCAGCCACTAGAGGTGCTTCCTGCAGTTTTACAAAGTTAACACTGCAATATAATCATTGTAGTCTTAATCCTGCAAAATAAGCATTGTGGTTTATTTGAAACTACAATGATTTACATTGCAGAGCTAAAGGAACAGGGACACTGCACCCGGAATGAAGTGGTCTGGGACCTATAGTGTCCCTTTAAATCTGTCAGCTAATCACTGGTTTCCATATGGTAACCACTATAGAAACACTGATGATGGTAACATGATCACTAATTTCTCGAAGTAACAAATAAAATACAACAGGTGTAAAACAGAGCTTCAAATTGTACCTTAATCACTTATATAAGCAATTCTTATTTTCACTACACGAAAATGTAGATTGGTTATCTAGTAGGAATGCTGTCTGTGTTTGTATGTCTGTTTGTTTGTTGTTATTTATTCATTGTATTTATTTTTTAAGTTTACTAAATACATTAGAGAAAAAGTCAACTGATACATACCGATAGCCACCATGCATCTTTCAAAATCCCCTTTCAATTTCAGATCCAGGACTTTGGTTATATCGTGCTTGCTAATTTTTGCATACCTTTGAAACACTAGAAAAGAAACCAGAAGGGAGCCTTGGATTATTATTAGTTTTATTATTATTATTATTTGGTATTTATATAGCAACAAGATATTCCTGCAGCACTTTATAATAAGGGGAATACAGACAAATAATGAACACATACTGTTACAAAAGGAACAGAGGACTCTGCTCATGAGCTAACAATCTAGCAAATACAGATTAAGATATAAGCTTTATGTGTGTAAAAAAATCTATCATAAAATATATATTCTATTGTACTGACATAAACAAATATTGAAACATATATTTATTGGATAATTTGTTAAAATTTACTAAAGTGGACCTTAGTAACAGTTCTGTTGTGTTCTGTTGAGTAGCCCAGTATTACACTACCAGAGAAATTAGAAGGTACAGTGATGTGTGCTTATGAACATACAGTGATGTCTGCTTTTTTTTCTACATCTTGTTCAAATATAGGTACTCATAAAATAAGTGGTTTATTCACTAAACAGCACATTGCGGTTCTTTTTCAATTGACTCCTAAAATCTATGGTAAATAGATTTTTTTCAACTTTATAGTTAAACCTAAATGAGTATCAAAATTTTCTATTTTAGTGACTTTCCTACAGTTTGATTGTGTAAAATTGCAATAATCTATATGCTATTGTTATACTATATAATAATACATACTATATTTTTTCATAGAATATATAAATAAATGCAATAAACCACAGCTACAGTCAAAAATCTAGAAAAGAGTTGAGAAGAGAATAATTTTGCCATCAAATGTGCACAGAAGCAAAATATATAAATGCGTAAAATCCTTCTTAAATAAACTTTAAGTCCCAACAATGACAGTAATGTTAAAATTCAGAATATTTATTTTTAGATATCTTAATTTTTCTTAGCATTTTTTAATTACCTGACCTTAGTTGTCTAATACTGCGAATAGTAAGAATATTAATGAACACGACGCTATCAGCTTTTTTGTTCTTTTCTCCAGCTTCAAATAAAGCCTATGGAAGAAAAAATGTATTTTGGAATGTTTAAAGCTAATATGTAAGTTCATTTTAGCTGATAATCAATGTGCTATAATGATCACATACATTTTCCACACATTCATTTATATGATTTTCTTTCCTGTAGTATGAATACTATGATAGTTTAGCTATCTGTTAGCCTTGGTGGTCCAGATGTAGTGCATCACAAATTTTAGCAGAAGAATCACAAAAGAGTGCAAAACAAAAAGTTGACTGGCTCCAGGAGTAAAATTGAAATATCTCAAATCATTGTGTAATTTTTTTCTTTTATACATAATGTGGTAGGTTTATCAAGGCAAAACAGGTGCCATTCTAGAATGTCTCTCATCATTTAGCACTTTTCATCAAAGTTTTGCATTGAGAAACTTGCCTCTAAATATGCATTTACATAGAATCACCTCAGCCTAATTTAGGCAACTTAAAGGGACACTAGAGTCACCAAAACAACTTTTGCTTAATTAAGCAGTTTTGGTGTATAGATCATGCCCCTGCAGTCTCACTGCTCAATTCTCTGCCATTTAGGAGTTAAATCGCTTGGTTTATGAACCTTAGTCACACCTCCCTGCATTTGACTTGCACAGCCTCCCTAAACACTTCCAGTAAAGAGTGATCTACAGTTTAACCTTCCTTTACTGCAAGATCTGTTTAATTTAGATTTGTTTATCCCCTGCTATGTTAATAGCTTTCTAGACCCTGCAAGAGCCCCCTGTATATGATTAAAGTTCAATTTACAGAGAAAGAGATACAATTTTATAACATGACAGGAGGCTTCGTATTTTGCTTAAGTCTTTCTTTACTTAAGCTCCACATCAGCACTTTTTAACATAGTAACAGGATAACCAATCAGAAAAAAGTAACAGGATATAAAACTCCCTCCCACTGATGTCACTTTCTCCTTCTTTGCTGCTCCACATCAGTACAGGTCAGAGTGCCACTGTCTCCTACTCTCTGTGGGTTACTGTGGTTTAAATATGTATTTCTTTAATCTTTTACTTACTTCTTATTGATATTATCATTGTGCTATCTTTATGTTGGCGTTTACCTGTTTTACATGTAATTTTACTTATTTTTCTCTTCAGCTTACATTTCTTATTTTCTACTAGCTTAGATATCTTATTTACCCCTTTTTTCCTACTTATATATATTTTCTATAAATTTTCTGTGTTTTATTTGCTTTCCTTGCCTCATTTAACCCGGGTTGCGGCTGGCAATCTCTGCCCCGCTTTCCCGGGCTTTCTGGGCCCTGCCTTCAGCAGCCATCTTGGATCTCGCGCGCTACCGCGAGATCCAGGCGTCCATTTTTCCCTCTCGTGAGCAAGCGCAAGGTCATGGCGGCCTGCACACATACTGGTCATGTGGCGGCCATCTTGGTGTGCCGCGCAACATCGCAGCTCCAAATGAAAGTGTACCTATTTGTAATTTCCCCCGTTTGCCTATGGGCACTATTTACATCAACCAGTGGACCCCACACTTCCTGTGGGTTCCACTCTTTGCTCATTTGAAGGGGATGTGTCATAACAGTTGCTAATACTATTGTGGATGCTCCAGACTCCCCCTTGTGGTGATCGGAGGGAACTGCAGGGTAGTGTTCATTATACTATTATTATTTCATAAATGATTAATAACAGGCTGTTCATATTGGGAAGTGTCCCCAATTTATATAAAACCTGCATTGGGGTGTCCCCCCCCTTATTATATACTGTGTTAATCAGCCTAATTATACTAATCACATTCAACTGTGAATTTATAAGGGGTAAATCCCTAAATATTATATGGGATTGCTGTTATTTAATACAGCCCATGATTGGCACCCTTTGTCTGTGCCCCCATACCTCTCCACGGGTATAAATAAATATATAAGCCGGCCACTCGTCGGACGATGATATAGACTGGCCTGAGGCATCCTTCGGAGGAGTACCTTTTCCTCAAGAAACTACTACTGATCCCACACTAGAAGATACAGTCCCTGGACCAACACCATCAGGGATGGCAGAAACCTTCCTGGACAAACTAGGTCAACCACTGTTTGACCCACATGATATCAGATACCCCCGATCATCAGAGTGGTCTCTTCCAGACCATCTCACCCAGTACATCCACTTCTGGATTAGAAGGCCCCTGGATCGGGAAGTCCACAAACGTTTAAAAGCAGAATGTCCCAGGCCTACCCTACCGGACAAGGTCGCTATGACCCCAGAATTTGATATGCTGCTTTACATGTACTTGGCCAGGACTGGCAGTGACCCTAGAAAAGGTATTGAGCGCAGCTTTCGTCTCACCCAAGACAAGCTGCTGAATGTCCTTGGACCCCTTGCAAAAATCTTATTATTGGCTGATGACGCTCTCTCTCAAGAGGGACCATTGGACCCATCCGTAATCAGAGAATGGGTGCTACACTCCATATGCCTGCTGGGCAATGCAGACACATCTCTCAGTACGGAGCGTAGGGAAGCAGTGCTGCTGCACATGGATGCCAAACTCTGCAATATGGGTTCCAAAGAATTAGGCCCCAAGGCCTAATTAGGCCCCAAGGTCTTCTGTTTGGAGAACCCTATATCAAACAATTACACAAACATGTAAATCTGTACGCCACACTGAACCAGGCGCAGACATCCATGAGAAGAGTGTTCCATCAACAACCCTCTCGGATTTTTGGCAGGGCTGGGCGTACAAAGAGTCGTACAGCCAGCCGGTTCTGGTCAGCAGGCCAACGCCAATGATCCCAAACATCATCATTCTTTCCGAATTATAAAACAAGGGGCTTCTACACCCCAAGGTCGGGATAGAGGAAGAGGAAGCCGAGCCCAAGGACGCCACAGATATCCGAGATTTCCCACCTTTTACCTTTCTACTTTCTGTCATGCGGGCAGGTTGTTACATTGTTTAGACATGTGGAAGACTCTGTCTTCAGATACCTGGATTCTAGACATGGTTCAGGGTTACTCCATAGAGTTCTATTTCCCCCCCGCATTCAGACAGGTTACCCCCATTGCCTTGTAATGTCAAAATCACAATGGACTCTGCTCGACACTGAACTGCAATCCCTACTCACAAAAGGGCTTTCTAAGTTTTATCTTCCTGGTCAGGAAGAAGTCAGGGGAACTCTGCCTGGTCATCAATCTCCATCAACTGAATGCCTTTGTGGTGTACAGACATTTCAAAATGGAGGGCATACATCTCCATCCAAGACATACTTCGTCCAGGCGATTGGTTCACCCGACTCGACCTCAAGGGTGCATACCTCTCTGTGCAAGTACACACGGCCAGTCATCGCTTCCTCTGGAAACACCAGACCTTCCAATTCACCTGCCTACCATTCGGCATAAGTTCCGCACCATGGTGCTTCACCAAACTGCTCAAGCCGGTTACCGCACATCTTCGCGCCAGGGGCATACGCTGCCTAATTTACCTTGACGACCTTTTACTATTTTGCGAGGATGCCTCCAGACTGCGATTTTAGACAAGCTACACATCCTCATTGCTCGAATCCTTAGGGTTTGTTATCAACCATGAGAAGTCTGCACTTTCACCATCACAGGTGATTCAGTTCCTCTGCTTCAAAATCGATTCTTCAACCTGTGTTCTCCGCCTGCCTCAATCCAAACTATCGGCAATCCGGAAGGAGCTGCCCAAGACTCTTCGACGGGAGGACATACCTCTCAAAGGTTTAGCTCGGATTTTGGGCCTCCTCTCCACTTCCATCCATGCAATCTATTCGGGACCTCTACACTATCGGGCTATGCAACACTTGAAGGCTCACTTCCTCCGAACCCATCCGTCTTACGACCAGAGGGTCCCAATTACCACGGAAGTGAGGGAGGAATTACGTTGGTGGCTCCTCCACATGTCGGCTTGGAACGACAAGGCAATTTTCGGTCCAATGACGGATTTCATTGTAGAATCGGATGCGAGCCTTCAGGGTTGGGGTGCGACTTGTCATACGACTTCCACAGGGGGACCCTGGACAGCCGCAGAGCATTCATTCCACGTGTCTGGAATTGATCGCAGGCTCTTTTGCAATCTGCAGTCTGGCCAATCACCTCTCGGACTGTTGCATTCTCTTACGGATGGACAATATTTCAGCGGTCCAATACATCAACAGATTGGGCGGGGCCAGGTCTTGCACCCTTTCCGAGGTGACAAAGGACATCTACAATTTCTGCTTCCAATGTCAACATCACGCTTCGGGAGTGATGAACATCACAGCGGACTGGTTCTCCCAACATTGGAGAGACATCAGCGACTGGCACCTGCACAGATCTGTTTTCCTTCACATCTCAAAACGCAGGGGCCCGTTTGTGCTGAACCTGTTCACCTCACGGACGCACTTTCAAGTTCCGCAGTTCTTCAGCTGGCTCCCAGACCCAGAGTGCTCGGCAGTGGATGCCTTTCAACAGAGATGGCCGCCGACGGGGGGCCTACGCTTTTCCTCCATTTGCGATGATTCCGAGAGTCCTTCGGCAAATTTGCAGGCAACTAGTCATGCTAGTGCTTCTCAAGCATGGTTTCCAGACCTTCTGGACCTCTCTTGCTGACATCCTCTCCTTCTGCCGTCCTTACCCAATATCCTGGCGGACCCTCAGGGGCTCCCTCATCCGATGATAGAACAATGCCACCTCCACTTAGTGGCTTGGACTCTTTGCGGGAATCCTGGAACTTTGGAGACTTATCGCAGAGATCTAAGGAACTCCTATGGGATTCTTGGGCCCCTGGAACCAGAAGATGTTGCCTACCCTCCTGGAACTCTTGGTGCAATTGGTGCCTGGGACAGGATACCGATCCCCTTACAGCCCCTAGACAATACATCTTAAACTTCCTTTCATACCTCTTTGATCTCGGCCGGTCCTACCGATCCATTAATGTTGCCCGATCGGCCATCTCGGCAGCCCATGTTCCGCTGCACGGAGCTTCAGTAAGCCAGGATCCGCTGGTCTGCAGACTCTTACGGGGCATTAAACTGGCTCGCCCTCCAGTTCCGAAGTACTCACTCCTCTGTCTGGGACGTTAATGTCATGATCCGCTTCCTACAAGCTTGGGCAAATAACAAGGACCTCTCTCTACGCCAACTCTCAGTGAAGTTCACCCTGCTGCTTTGCTTGGTGTCTTTCCACTGATATTCAGGCATTTGACCATGACGCCATCACATTTTCTCCAGAGGGTGTTTCTTTTGCCCTGTCCAGATGTACTAAATCGAACACCTCCTCTATATTCTTTCCTTATTTCCCTAACCATCCTAAACTGTGTGTGGTTTTGGTTCTCTCTCGTTATTTATTGCTCACCTCCACCCTCCGTTCATCTTCCTCCAGTTAGCTCTTGATCTCATATGTTCACCCACATAACCCAGTTTAAACCACCACTCTTGCCCGGTGGATTCGATGGTTACTTTCACTGGCAGGGATAGAAACCTCCTTCGGAGCCCACTCCATCAGAGGAGCGGCGGTGTCAGGAGCATTCAGTGCTGGAGCTTCTCTACGGGACATTCTTCGATCGGCAGATTGATCCCGGGAAGAGATTTTTCTCAATTTCTATTTTCATCCAACTGTGCACACTTCCTTAGCCTTACTTGGGGAGCGTTAAAACTGCAAAATACGAAGCCTCCTGTCATGTTATAAAATTGTAGATTATGCTAGCTTTAGTGTACCTATAATTTTAATTTTATTAATGACTGGAGGTGAGTATTTTGCCACCCTTTATTTTCTCCCCCGCACCCACCCCAGTTTGTCACCTCCTTAGGGAAGTGTATTGGATAGAAGGGTAAGTACGTCTTGACTTACTTAAGTGTATTACAAGGGGATATGCTGTAATGGGTAGAGATGATGTTCCATGCATACTTCAGTATATGGATTAAATACAGTTTGGTTGCATGCTTTTAGAAGTCCAATTCATGGATTAATCCTCTGTTTCGACTCTGCTCTCTCGTTTCAGTTTAAAGCTCCCTCAAGAGGTCAAGCCTAGTTCCTGTTCCTCTCAAACTCTTCTCATCTGGTATGCTGAGATCCTCATTTGGTTCGCCTATGGTTTTCCTGTTCCTGTTCGTTTCACAGCCAGAAAGAGGAAGTTACATCAGTGGGAGGGAGTTTTATATCCTGTAACTTTTTTCTGATTGGTTATCCTGTTACTATGTTAAAAAGTGCTGCTGTGGAGCAAAATACTTGAGCAAAATACTCGCCTCCTGTCATTAATACAATTAAGATTATAGGTACACTAAAGCTAGCATAATCTACAATTGTTTAAGGTAAATTACAGCTGAATGAAAATGAAACCAGTTTTTTTTTTCATGCAGGCTGTGTCAATCAGAGCCAGGAGAGGTGTGATAAGGGCTGCATAAACAGACACAAAGTAATTTAACTCCTAAATGGCAGTGAATTGAGCAGTGAAACCTGAGAGGCATGATCTACACACAAAATCTGCTTCATTAAGCTAAAGTTGTTTAGGTGACTATAGTGTTGCTTTAAGAGGTGCTCATTATCATTAATTGTACATGATATTTTGGAGTGTTAAAATTACATAGTCCTATAGATCGTCTACAAAATTAACCGTTAATCTTTCATTGTTTATAGGATATATAATATGTCATAACTAATACAAGCCTCAATTTAATATTTTTGTTAAATGATTTCATATTTTTGAAAAAAGTTTTAAAATTATATTTTAATATTATTTATGAAGACATATATCATATATAATAATGTATATTGATATATAAAAAATATTAAAATTTTTAAATATTTTTAAAATATTACATAATTTTAAAAGTTTATAAAAAATATTAAATAATTTGAAAAGCCTATCTAAAATATTAAATCAAGACTAAAGTGGAGATTTATCAAGGGAAGGCACTCTGGGCTTACAGTGATATATGTTGAGAGAGATTATATTGTTTTCCATGGTGTTTGTTCTCTATGGCTCCCAGATTGGCATCTATTTACATTGATAAATCCTTTCCCCTGTAAAATCGATTATCCAAAACAGCATATGATAAATTTATTTTTTGTAAGCATCATTAATGCCGCACAACTACTGTCTTGAAAGTCAATCATATTGGGTAGGCAATGACCTATCAAATTTTAATGAAGGAAAGGAGCCAGAAAAATTGGCAGCTATTAGTCCATCTTTAGTGAATTATTTCTATAATGCTCTTATGTACAGTACATCTAAATTTTCTATTTAAATATGTTTATTAAAGTGTCTTTTCTATTTAATTTTAATTGCAAACATCAAAGAATATAATTACCTTTATTTAATAAGTCTATGGTTTACATGTAATTGATTTTTTCATTGCTTATTGTGATATTACATGTTTAATTCTAGCACATTTATATTTTTAAGTATAGAGATAACCCTTAAAGTGTTATCTTTACTTTTAGCTTTTTTAGTTTTTTTTAATAATCTCATTATAGGTAAGTGCAGCCAAATAACATACAATTATGTCAGATAGTCTATAATTTACTACACTATTAGTGCTTTACTATGTTGCTAATCATGATCTATGCAGTAAGTAGATTAATAGTTTAATTTCCATTTGAACACATTTATTAGCAGCTATGTCAATGAGTTGTGGTCCAGTGTCCTATCAGTAATGTCCAGTAAGTGAATTCAATATCGGTAAAACATTTTTTACCAGGTCTACAGACTACATTCTCTGGATGGAAAATAGTTACTCAAATAATAACTCATGCCTCGAAGAGAAGTTTATTTCTTCAATAGACAGTCAATGTGGATTAAACTTTCAAATCACATATTTCATGGAAAATTGCTTATTGCTAAGTATTTAATTGATTTTTAAAAACTTTTAATTACATTTATAAAATTAAGCAAATATGCTTTTAAAAAATGCACAAGTCTTTGGTTTTTAAGTATTCACACTAATTTTTACATTTCTATTTTGGTAAAATTATGTATGTGGAGTTAAGCTGCAATTCTTTGAGAATTGACCTGAAGATTTGGTAAATAGATGCTATAACCTGGCTGAAAAATATTTTACTAAATTAAAAGTAAGTTAGAGGAAAAGTTTATTTATTCTAAAATTAATCAAATATAATTAACATTATACAGATTATTCAGTAATGCAGTCTTATTGAGTGAGTAAAAATATTAAAATAGAAACTAAAATAAAATACATATATTTCTTTCTACATGCCATCAGTGTACGATTATTTACAAAGATACTGCTTATTGCTTCTATGGATTCATCATTAGCCTTTTGCACAGTGTGATTGTCTCTTGAACAAAATTTTACAAACTGGGAATCTTGTTCAGGATGTCTGACGCTCAACAATGTGATGTCTGAGGCCTCAATTTGGCCTTGCATCACTTGCTAGCCAGCCTCCATGTAAATAGTTGAAAAAATAATAAATAAGCCTTTTGATGTAAATGTGCCTTATGCCCCCATCTGCACCATGTATACTGAACTGTTAGCAGCCAGAGACTGTAATCAATACCAGGAAACAGTTAATAACAAAGGTTGCACCCCACTGGGATGTGGCCTGTAAAAATCAAGGGGGTATATCTGACTTAGGCCATATTCCCAGGGCATTAAGTGGGAGCTTCAAACTAAATGGGAGATAATACATTTGATAAGAGGGGATTATGGGCAATTTCCCCCCAGCCACATTACCCTTATTACAGTGAAGAAAGGACAAATTCATCTGGTACGTGTAAAAAAAATAACGTACGAGTAGGCTTGTAATAAAAAGAAGGCCCACAAAGGTGAAATGTATATGTAGATGGGTGTAGGTGGGTGGGGACAAACAGTTTGAACGTCAAAGGTGAGTAGGGGGGTAGGAGTTTAAATAGGGCCATAACTCCTCCCACAAATTCAGGCCAAATGGCCTTTTAACTTGTGCTCGGAATTTCTAATACGTAATGGAATGTAGAAGGAGATGCAAAGTTGGTTGAGGTGTGCCGAAACCAACATACGAGTAGGCCTGTAATAAAAAGAGGGCAAAACGAGGATTCAAAGTAAACACACTTTATTGCAAGTTTACCAAGCAAGATTTTGAAGGCTTGATGGAGCTCCCTCTCTGGTCGAGGAATATGAGTAATAAATTGAGGATTTAGAGTGGCCCAGTCTCTTAATGATGTGGACTGGTGTGTTAGAGCTTAAAGCTGAAGAAGCTGTGCCTATACGAGAAAGTGACCAGAGAAGGAAGCCGGGTTATAGCCCAACCTTAATAGTAGGGTTCTGACGTGAGAAATTAATTTAGCTGTGGTGAGTGGGTGCCCTTGGAGTAGTAATAGTGGAGAGACAGGGGAGTGCATGTGGTGAGACAACATGAGTAAGTATTTTAACTGGGCACCAAACATTCTCTGTAGGGAAGAGGGTAAGGTAAAGTTTATGGTATTGTGTGATAAATGTAAGGTGTAGGTGATAGAAGGAGGCAAAAGCCACCGTATTTTAATGAAAAGTCTCCTTGTAAGTAAAACTCTGCAGGTAGAGTCAGTGCCCTAGTGTAAATGATAGTGGTGTAGGGTGAAAGTGTGTGGTGCGTGATTGCCGGTGTGTGGTGTAATAGCCTGTTTAATCCAGGATTAGCTCGTGGACAGGTGGTATCCTGGAAGGTAGGTGATGGGCCATAGGGAGTGCCTGGAAGAAGACCTGAAATTGAGAGCGTGAAAGAGCATCAACAGCTTTGTTATGGACATCAAGAATGTGTATGCAGACTAGATGGAACTGAGAGGTTGCTGCCAGCCAAGTCAGTTTGCGAATCAGCCTCATAATTAACAAGGATGACTGCCCCTTGTCAATGATTTTGCGAGGTGCGGAATTGTCTGAGTAGCATATAAATTGCCTTGCCAGTCCAGAGATGACCCCATGTATGGGCGGGCGCCACGATGGGTATATCTCAAACAATGTGGATGTTCTCTAAAGGCCAGCAATGCATCAGTCTCAGTGGGCCAGTTGTCTCTAACCAGTGGTTGCCGAAAATAGCTGCGAAATCGGTGTGTGCTGCTGCGTCTGTGTAGATTGTAGGCGTATTAGTGAACCTATGGGGATGGCGATGAGGCCCGTGTAAACCCCTGTGAGAAACACGTGGAAGTGGAACTACGGGAGGAGTTCTGGGTTCAAACAGTTCTGGGTCCATCTGGCACCAGTCAATTCTTATGTTGAACTGAGCCAGATGAGTAGCTGCTCTGGTCGACGCTGACTTATGATAGTCATAGAATGAGGACCCTCTGTACTTAATACCTAAGTCTAGAAAAAAAAGAGACGAAAAATGGGGCAGACAGTCCACTCACAAAAAAGTGGGTGGAATGCCTAGCCTCATTCAAAGTACCTCATAATGTAAATAGTCACATAGAAGAGGCTAAACAACCTTTATTAGAAAAAAATGCTAAAATGGTATATAGTCCAAATACTATTACCATACACTAAAATAGTGTATTGATTATAAGTTAACCACCAAATTTGTAAAAGCCTGGGAGAGGCTAATGCTGCAAGGTATGTTTGACTTAATAAAGGTGTAAAAATACACCTAAAATAATAAATGGGTAACAAAGCAGGTTAGTCTAAATCCATTCTAGGAAAGGACCCAGCTGGGTAATTGGATAGAAAAAGGATAGTCTTAGAGCAGTGTCTGAGAGAATATGGAAAGGGCAGGGTTAATAGCAACTAATGGGGCGCGCCCAAACTAATATCGAGTAGCTTATACTAAAGTGAAAAGGAGCCAATACCCCGTAAAGAGAGGAAAGATAGAAACCCCCTCCTCTTTGAGTCACCCTAAAAAAACTAACTATCCTAAGAGAAAAAGCAAAACAAACTGCTGCTTCGTGGCAGCCTATCCAAATCCCTAAGTCTGTATCAGGAGAAAATATAGGCGCAAACTCATGCGCTGTGGAAACCCAGGTAAATGAAAGGCTAGAAAATATCTCGATGCGCGTTTTGGCGTTTTAGATACGCCTTTGTCAAGAGCTCTTGACAAAGGCGTATCTAAAACGCCGAAACGCGCGTCGAGATATTTTCTAGCCAATGCTATTATACTCAATTGATTTTCTTTACTCTCATCTTTCATTTACCTGGGTTTCCACAGCGCATGTGTTTGCGCCTATATTTTCTCCTGATACAGACTTAGGGATTTGGATAGGCTGCCATGAAGCAGCAGTTAGTTTTGCCGTTTCTTTTAGGTTAGTTAGTTTTTTAGGGTGACTCAGAGGGGGGGGGTTCTATCTTTCCTCTCTTTGTGGGGTATTAGCTCCTTTTCTGTTTAATATAAGCTACTTGATATTAGTTTGGGCGCACCCCATTAGTTGCTATTAACCCTGCCCTTTCCAGATTCTCTCAGACACTGCTCTAAGACTATCATTTTTCTATCCAATTACCCAGCTGGGTCCTTTCCTAGAATGGATTTAGACTAACCTGCTTTGTTACCCATTTACTATTTTAGGTGTATCTTTACACCTCTATTAAGTCAAACATACCTTGCAGGATTAGCCTCTCCCAGGCTTTTATAAGTTTGGTGGTTAACTTAGCTGATGCTATTATACTCAATTGATTTTCTTTACTCTCATCTTTCATTTACCTGGGTTTCCACAGCGCATGAGTTTGTGCCTATATTTTCTCCTGATACAGACTTAGGGATTTGGATAGGCTGCCACGAAGCAGCAGTTAGTTTTGCTTTTTCTCTTAGGATAGTTAGTTTTTTTTAGGGTGACTCAAAGGGGAGGGGGTTTCTATCTTTCCTCTCTTTATGGGGTATTGGCTCCTTTTCTCTTTAGTATAAGCTACTCAATATTAGTTTGGGCGCGCCCCATTAGTTGCTATTAACCCTGCCCTTTCCAGATTCTCTCAGACACTGCTCTAAGACTATCCTTTTTCTATCCAATTACCCAGCTGGGTCCTTTCCTAGAATGGATTTAGACTAACCTGCTTTGTTACCCATTTATTATTTTAGGTGTATTTTTACACCTTTATTAAGTCAAACATACCTTGCAGGATTAGCCTCTCCCAGGCTTTTACAAATTTGGTGGTTAACATAATCAATACACTATTTTAGTGTATGGTAATAGTATTTGGACTAAATACCATTTTAGCATTTTTTTCTAATAAAGGTTGTTTATCCTCTTCTATGTGACTATTTACATTATGAGGTACTTTGAATGAGGCTAGGCATTCCACCCACTTTGTTGTGAGTGGACTGTCTGCCCCATTTTTCGTCTCTTTTTTTCTATATATATTGTGGGGTTACGCCCCTTGTACCTCTGTAACCTTTTTGTGGGGTAGTGGCGGTAGTTTCCCCACCCCATAGCCCCTCTCTCTTTCTTCCAATTAATACCTAAGTCAGCAACCTTGTGCATGTTGGATTCGAGCTCTTCCCTCCTATGTGGGTACCGTGCAGAATAACGTCATGATAAATGCCACAGGTGATAAACTTGGGAAAGGAAAGTTTCTTGTTAAGTCGAGGATCTCTGGCTTTTAAGACCACTGAAATGTCCCCGTAATTATAAGCTATATTCTCTAGGATGTCTTGAGAGGCTAACGTGGCCCATTAAGAAGTTTAGAACCCACCTTGGGGGGTGGGGAGGGAAGGGGTGGAAGCTGAATGAGGCCGTGGAGGCTGGATGAGGCCTCAGGGGAAGAAAACTACAACTGGAAGACAAAAACAACTGATAAAAAGTAATAAAGTATACAGTAATACAGTAATACAGGATACTGGGATAACACTTCCTGGAGACTGTTAGAAGGAAATGTAGTAGAGCCTAAAAACATACGCATACTAAGTATAATGAACCAGTATATAATATTTTTTGGAAAACAGAGATTTTGCAATCACGCTTATGGTCTGTAATGACCCTGGTGAAAGGGAACCGTTAGAGCTTAACCTATAATATGCCAAGACAAAGATAAAGACGTAGTGTAACAGAGCGAACGTAGTTACGTAGAAAAACTAGTTTGGGGAATTAGGGAGAGGAAATGAATTTATAATATGAGAGACTAAGTTCCAGCGAGAGTAAATAATGGTGCCGAGTGGTGTATTTTTAATATACCTTACTTATTAAGTGATTATGGCCTGACCGTGCCTTTAAGAAGGTTTCCCCTGTGTAAAATAAGTGTCCCATAAATTTACATGACCATAGCCAAGGAATAGTGAAACAGATTAAATATTTTGCTAGTAGTAACTGATGAGCCATATGCTTAACACACAAATTAATATAGGATGCAGAAAATATGGAAGATGAGTTCTTTTGTTTAAACGAATGACATAACAAAATACATTAATAACAGATTAGTGAATTTAAACTTTAAAGCCTCCTGCGTTCGGCTAGAAATGAACGAATGGAGAGGACTGTAAGCCGAAAAGAAATACCTGCGGTCGATTAATGGACCGCACGAAAGACTAAATGAAAGCCATGTACATTGAATCTGCTGTTTAACCATACAAATTAATTGACGAACGTGAGTATGATAGAGCGGTCGGCAGTTTAGTTATGCGAAAGAACGAAGGTGTGTGTACTCTGCGGTCGGCCGCACGAACCGCAGAAGTACACGAACGGGTAAATATGCACGAATGGGTAAGTATAATGAAGGGAGCCTATCCCCGCGTTTTTAGGCCCTATTGTGGGAAATAGTAAAATATGTGGACGTGCTGGTCTTGTTTAAATAGGGCCATAACTCCTCCCACAATTTCAGGCCAAATGGCCTTTTAACATATATTTATATATCTCAAGACATAAACATGTTCAGCATGTTCCATGTTGCTACAAAACACAGTCAATTTACCTTTGCATCTTTATCAGCAAGATCCTCATTCACGTAACTGTCTTCACTGCGTTCTCCCTGAAATTAACAAATTGATATGGTATTCTTATTACTTTACTATTAAATACTTTTTAAAGGTTGAAAACGTCTAGTTCTCAAGTATACTCTGGGGCATATATCGCATTATTACCCAGCTCTTTTGTATTCATTTAATTGATGTCAGAATGATGACACCCCAGGTTTTACTCACATACAGTAGATATAAGAAAAACCAATCAAATGCCTTACTCATAGGTAGTTGCAAGGACCCTGAATGCATTACTGGCAGTACAGATTACTGGAAATGGTAACAGTATTTAAAACTGCTATAGCAATCTTTATCAGTCTCTAAAATGCTAATGTACTACTGAGTAAAAATGGTAGAGAACATTCATCCTCCTCATTTCCTGATTGTAAGAATAATGTCCTGTACGGTTTAGAAGTAGGGAGTGAGCTTACATTTTGAGCAAATTTACCGGCATTATATCAGTGACTAGTGGTTTCTGGAAGAGAAATGTATTCCTCTACCGACTCTCAATCATAACTAGAGTATAAATGAGGGTGAGTGATGATTTATGGACTTTTTTTTTATACTGCAAAATACATAAACATATATGAAAAAATATTGGAGTTAAAGGGGAGCTGTCATCCCCCAGGATTTTTAATATTAGGTTTACATATCTCTGAATTTAACAAACGTATGTATGAGACGTGAAAAATAAAATAAAGCATAGAAATCCACATCTCTTAATCCCGCAGCTGGGTGCCTCCATTTTTGCTCCCTGTCAATCAAGTAAAAAGTAACAGTTCCTCTTTCAGGTGTTACCTAAACATTTAATCAGTTCTCCTGAAAAAAAAAAGTTAACATCTATAATCACTGCTATATATTAGGTGGCGGTACCTTAAGCAAAGCAAGCAAAATCTTTTGGAAATCTCCAGATGTATCTCCAATAACGTCTTTCTCCAGATCAGTTTTATATTCTGATAAATAATGAAAAGGAAAACAATTAAGAAAATTGATTTATTCAACGCATTTACTTTATTCATTTACAGATTCACTAACTATGAGGAATATATTAACACAACAGAAAAAGATATACAGAAATAATATGACCAAAACAAATAATTAGATAAATGGCAATGCATAAAACAATATCAAATAATATAAGCTATATGAATTACAGTAAGAGGCTTCTGCAAACCACAGCAAATAGAGACAAGGCAAATTGAAAGAAACAATGTTTGTATTCCTCCTCCTGGTTTGCAATGTTTACCCTGGCTTTGCCTTCTCTAAACTGGATTATGAAGTCATTCTCTTAATCTTTAATATAAATTTAAATGAAAATGGTGCTTTTCATGAAAAAAAAAAAAAATAACACGAGTTATAAATGATTTTCAGTTTTATTTCAATGGTGTAAATTCCAGATGGAGCAAACACATATTTTGGTCATTTCTTGGATAATGTGCTGATAAATGCAGCAAATCAATTTAGGCCTTTCCATGGCAGTCCCTTTCAATAGTAGCAGCCATCTTTTGCAGTTGTTGTCTTTAGTCATTAATTCAGTCCCTCTACTCTTACTAACATACAGAGGGAGGTGCTAGGGAAAGAGGCACAGCAAGGTTTACCCAGTAAGTACCAGAAGGGGAGCAAAATTTATGAAATCAGAAATTAAAAGAGTTTGCTATCCAGGAGGGCGATCCCTAAACAGGCCAAGATAAATATGCCCAAGCACTGTCCTAAGACAAACAGAAATTCTAATCACTAACCCTTGTACCTATTTATGTATAACAATGGACACAATCATTCAGTTCCTGTCACAGCAACGTTATGATACAGTCATAGAATCTTAAAATGTAATTTTGCTGATTTATTAAAATCTATCTATTGATCTATCTATCTATCTATCCATCTATCTACCATCTCTTTGTATTTATGATCTGACTTTATTCAAAGCTAGTTTCCTTCATTGCCTGACCCCCACTGTCTATTTTATATTTCTTTCATCCATTGCAATTCTTTCCCACCAATCACAATCCCCTGTCCTCCAAAAAAACATACTGTCTTCTTTGATTCTTCTATTTTCTTTTCACGCACATATAACAAATATCTCTCTCTCACTGTCCTCCGTTTCTGTCTTTCTGCAAACCCATGCTAATCCATCCCTGTACAACCCACTGTATTTTACATTTCTTATTCAATTTGCAAATCTCTTTCTGTCTTCACTTTACTATATTTATTTTTTCCATTCTTCTACCAATCTCACCTTCAAAATTCATGTTTCCCTTCTTCTCCATCTGTTTCCTCCTGTTTTGCCTATTCTCCTTTTTTCTAAATATCTTAAACACTATTTATTTAAAATCCCGTTTCCATTTGGCCTTAGACACCCCATCTTGATTAAAATTATTTGTTTATATTGTTTTCTTTACTTCCCCAAGTCTATGCTTTCACCTTATATGTATGTTTATTTACTAGTTGCCACCTTTAATGTATTCTGGTTCTATGCAATTTGGTCTGCCTATTGTTACTTGTTTACGGATATGCCTTTAATGTTATGTAGCTGAGTTCCTCTATAGCAAGTCAAATATTTTTGAACAATATCCAAACAGACCTGAATTGGACAATGTAGGTTGGTTGCAATAGGGGACGTTGCAAATGATTTGGTAAACAATTAACAGTGGCTTTTCTCAAGATTTGATATTTAATCTAACTTTTAACTAGCTGATCATTAATCAGACCTTTATGAACAGACCACATTTGTGTGTTGAAATACTACCTTCTTGGTAAACCTTCTTAATTTGTTTTATTTCTTGATTGCTTCTTGAAACAATAATTTCAATAATAGTTTCTTCATCTGTTCCAAGTCCCTGATTGAAAAAAAGGAGCAGCAAAAACAATCAGTAAATCAGCATTCCCATTGGTCTGTGTTAACTAGCCACTAACTAGTTAACTGAGAAAGAATTATGATAACTACACCCCAAACTGGAAGTTAAGCAAATATAGATCGTGGAGTCAATTTTAATGCAACGCCAACTCATCTATTCTGGTAAAAATGTCTGGTTTAAACAAGACTAATACGATCTGTATTTCAAATATGTCCATTTGCTTATTTTAAACTCAACTGCCTAAGCCACATTTGCCCAATCTTTTCAAACATCCTCACCTGTAGATTTACACCCTTGCATCACAGCAGTAAACTAAAATAATTACACTTGTTCCATACATGTTTATAAACCCTACTATATGTGGAAGTATTAGGTTGTGAGGTGGTACTGTTTCACTGGTGGAAGGCTGAGAAGCTAGGCAGCTCCTGAAACTGAAAGAGGTATAGGCATATTAATGTTTGGAAAAGAGTGGGTGAACAGTGGCAAACAATAACCAGTGTGTACATTTAAACTATACAGGAGAGCCAAATCATATGCACAAGTGACAAAAAATAACTTCTCTTAAAATACAGCCTTCTAGGTAAAGCGTAGAGTCTCCTAGGTAAAACCGGCTCCATCCATGCAAAATACTATACATACAGGGCTGTTACAGTGGCTACTATGCCCAGCTAATGCTACCATGCTGACATTCCACCTTAAAGGGTATTCTTTCCATCAGGAAGCTGACTCCTTATTGGGGATACTTACTGGAAAGTGGAGAGAGGCTGTGTATTCTTGGAGATAAAAATTAGCTAAGGTAAGCTAAATGAAAAGGAAGTTTTCCCGAAGAAAATACTTTTCACAGCACAAGGAAGGGGAAAAGTGTTATGAGCATATTATAAATATTACAAGTTTTTAGAAAGAAAAGTATGTCTTAAACTGTGTACTTTGTCTTTAAGAGATTTTGCAAATGTTCAATTTGTTAGAAATGGAACATATTGATTATCATACAAGGTTTCTTTAATAAATGTCCTCTTACCCATATTCAGGACATAATTTTGTCCTATGTTAATATAAGAACAAGTCAGGGAATTTCCCATGTCATGGTACACCTTTAGTTTTAGTCTAAACATTGATAAGATGTCTAGGTCATGGCAATAGACTGATTAAGATGTTCCCATGTGAAATGACCAACTTATGGCCTTGTATCTTTGCCAAGCTAAGGTAGGTCCTAACATGATCTAATTGAAAATCTATGGTATAAATATGTGTACGTGTTAATATTCGACACAGAGGAGAAAAGTTTGGATGCAGAGACGTTGCTCTATTTTATCATGACTGAGAGGTTGACTTGTTCAAGAGAGTATGTTATTCTATTTTATTGATATTGCAAACATAGACTTTACTCTTATAAGCTCTGCTATAAAATATTGTAATGGATTATTAAGTTTTATATGTCTATATTTATATTTTTATTTCATAAAATATTTTAAAAGACAAATCTTTATTGCTTGTAATAAATCCTTATTTTATTTTCTACTGTCAATTATTTATATATTTTAAATAGTGGAACTCTTACTTACTATATAATATTATGGCTAAGATATCTGTATGGCTAGATAAAGCCTATGCTTTAAGATCTTATAGTGGTATATATGGGAACCAGCATCAGTTACAAAAGGGCTGAGACAGTGCAGCTATAGGAGTATATTAATAGTTTGTTATGTACTGTCCTAAATAACCAAGTATACAGAGCTGGTGATGCTTTAAAGATTAGTCACTGGGTAGACTACCATCTTTATTGAGAGGGTAATCAAAACAACTTCTATTTTTTACTTCAACTTCAATGTTAGAGTGTTTATTTACACAGTAACATCAGAACAATCTCTCCCTTCTATTGGAATCTTACATTTTTTTAATGTTTTTTTTACCTTCATTGCATTTTTCAAAGAATCTGCATCAAACTGAGCTGGAGTTTTTAACAAAGCAAGAATGATATCTCTGAGTGGGCCAGAGAGGGCTTTCTTTAGTGCTTCATCCAAAGACTGTAAATCAGAATTATTGAAATTGTGAGATTCAGAATAGTAAAAATAAGGCAGTCTGTAAAAATGCCCTGCAAAATACAGTCTTATATTATACAAATGATTATAAGGATACAATAGAAAAATAAATGAAATACTGTTGTTCAGTCCTCACATTTTATAGAGATCAATGCATTAAGACCAACCAATATGACAGAAAGACACATGAAGCAATGTGTACAGAACAAATTATATCATTAAAACTTTCATGAGATTCTCTAGCTGTATGTTGGGAAACACTGATCTTGTATCCAATGAAAAAATTGTGGTGATTTGAAACTGTGCCATAAAATGTAACCTACAATTGTAGAGTTGGAAAAGGTATCTAATTCAGATATTTTTTTCAACTCGACTATTTCAGCTACATTTTGTACGACAGTTTGCACACAGACAAACATATTTGCGGTTATGCTGGGGTTGCTGTATGTAACTATTATGGTTATTTTCACAAAAACATAAGTATTCAATACTTACTCATGAAATGGACAAATAGGGATATAGACAAGAAAACAACTTTAGCTTAATGAAGCAGTTTTAGTGTACTGCTCAATTCTAATTTAGTCATTTAGGAGTAAAATCACTCATGTTTTCTGCCCATGCAGCCCTAGTCCCCTGACTGTGAATGCACTTGCTTTAGAAGTTTGTATCTAATGCTCTCTAAATTGAACTTTAATCACACACAGGAGGCTCTTGCAGGCTCTAGAAGGTGTTTGACAGTGCAGAGGATAGAAAGTTATAAATTAAACAGAATGTGCAATAAAGGAAGTTTAAACATTAGAGTTTAGAAAGGTTGTGCAGCTCACATGTAGGAAGGCTTGACTAGGACTGTGTAAACAATGTGATTTGGATCAACAGAAAAAACATACGTGAGGAAGGCTGAACTTGATGGACGCAAGTCTCTTTTCAGCTATGTAACTATGTAACTCATAAATGGCAGAAGATTGAACAGTGAGATTGCAGGGGCATGATATATACTTGACTTCATACTTGACTTTAAACTGCTTCATTAAGCTTCTGTTTTTTTGGTCCTTATAATGTCCTTTTAAAATTTCAAAAATTAAATGGTTGTGCTTTTAATGGGAATGAACTTTCTCAGTGCATGCTGTTATCTTGGAGTGGATTTGGTGGAACATGAGCACCTTAAAAATATATTTTTTTGGGGGGGAGAATTATTTTTTGTTGCACATTTTCAGAATTTTTGACTGAGAAGAAGGAACAGATTATAGTTACATTAAACGTTAGATAGAAATTTTATATTTTATGAAAATTCATACACCTGGGATTTCTCAAGAATACCATTCTCTGAATATTGTTTGCTATATAGAAATATTTAGCCTATGTATTTTCTAGAGGTAAAATAATTTTGTAATAAAAATTCAGCATTAGTCATGTAATTTGCATTTGATCTAGATATAAAAAAAAAATTGCTTGATTACCTTTCCTGTTTTTTCTTGGTAGGCAGCTTTAATAGTCTGGCGTTGTTCATTTGTTCTTTTAGTTATAATATCAATAATTGTTCCAACATCTACCTCTACAAATCACAAAAACAAGTCAAAGTTTTAGTTTTTATATTGCAGGACCTTTCAATAATACATCATTCTTTAATGACGTTACTCATATGCAGGTTATTTTATACAAAAAAAAATTTTAATACCCAAGCCGGGACTAAGCAAAGGGCAATCTAATGAGGTTTCTCTGAGCTTTTCCTTCACCGAAACTATATTGAACTGGATCAGAGCAATCTACGGCAACCCGACTGCAACAATACCGGTCAACGAAGCCCTGACAGAATCCTTCCTAATTCGGAATGGCACGAGACAGGGATGTCCCCTGTCGCCACTGTTGTTCGCTCTAACGCTGGAACCCCTGTTAGAAGCGATCAGACGGAATATCAACATCATGGGATACAAATGGAAAACCACCACGCACAAGGTTGCCGCATATGCGGATGATATGTTATTTTTCATCACACAATCACGAATCACCCTGCCATGCCTAATGAAGGAACTCGAAGAATATAGGCACCTATCAGGTCTCAAACTTAATCTAAGTAAATGCAAACTCCTCAATATAAATGACCCGATGAGAGAACACAGAGCTATAGCGTCCACCTTCCCCTTCTGGTGGTGTCAGTCCCAAATGAGATACATGGGTAACAACGGACCCAAATATCCTATATCAGACAAACTTCATCTCACTCCTCACCCGAATCCAGCAAGACTTACGGAAGTGGAACTATCCACACATCTCCTGGTTAGGCCGCATAGCGGTGATTAAAATTAATATACTGCCCAGACTACTATACCTGTTGCACACGATCCCACAATCGCTACCGACGGGTTTCTTCGCCTCCCTGAAAGCAGCATTCCTGACCTACGTATGAAGGGGCTATAGGCTGCGACTGAGATATGAACTCCTATGCCGGACCAGAAATAACAGCGGATTAGCGCTCCCTGACCTACGGAAGTACCATCACGCAACAGACCTACAGAGGATCCTAGAATGGCACACTAACCCACAACCCAAACCCATCTTTACCTCCTTATGGAATACGAGAACACCAGCGCTGGATGACCCAAACAAACTCTCCCTGGCAAACCAAACCCTTTAGACATGGTTTACAATGAGGAAAACGGCAGCCATATCTACTACACCTAGCCCGATGATCTCTCTGATGGATAACCAATTACTAGGGGGAGGATTACCACCCAGAGCCTGGGGCTTCCTGAGAGAAGAGGACTTCATCTCACTCCACAAAACACTAAACTCCACTGGACTAATGCCCCTAGAACAACTCATAGAGGACACGCTGACACCCATGCAAAGATATATATATTCACAACTGACACACTTCTACCACACATTACCGGACAGAGCCACAGTGCACAGAACCCTCACATGGCTGGAAGAGATGTGTGACAAAAAGACGACTGTTCTGAAGCCACATCGGCCCTATATCAATACTTGATAACAGACAAACGGCAACCCTACCATACAAGCATAAATGGGAAAGACTTACAGACAGGACATTCACAGACAAACAATGGGAAAAAATTCAAGTCCTCCACCACAAATCCTCAATTAGCTCATACTACCAAGAAATGAACTATAAATTACTGCCATTCTGGTACAGAACCCCAGACCTTCTCCACAAAATATTCCTCAACACCCCAGCGACATGCTGAGATGTGAGACGGATGTCGGAACGGTGAAACACATCTGGTATGAATGCACCAAATCATATCTTGCATCAAAGACGTCCTGGGAGACACAATACAACTAGCAATGGAAAATGTACTTCTCCACCATACACAAGAACCACTCTCAAAATACAAACGGTCTATCCTCCGACATCTTCTAGAAGCAGCCAAGGAGTTAATACCTACCTCTGGAAACAAACACAACCTCCCACAGTTGAACAATGGCTTACCAGAGTGGAAGACATCAGATCTGCAGAAGAAACACATGCAACTCTGATGGATACACTCATGAAACACGTGGATAATGTACATGGTGGGGCGGAGCTTGGGGGGTGCAGCTGGCGGGGAAAACGGGACTGAGGGAGAGTACCCAACACCCTCCCCCCCATACCATACCTCTCAGCGCACCCCTTCCTACCCCACCCTTCCTCCTCACACCCAACTTCTTACACATACACTTTTCACCAACATCAGCAAACTGCCATAATACAAAATACACCCTTGTCCCATGCATAACCTCATAGTAAGGCCAGAAAAGATGCTGACAACGGGGAAGACACCCACCCCTAGTATACACACTACTTGAGGGGACAGCAGACGAGAACGGACATACCTACACCTAACCACAACACATAAGACAACATCTCAGAATACGACTGCACCCCCCAACTGAGACACACATACCCTTTGACAGGAGTACTCCCCACGCCAAAAGGACAATACGAGACAATAGGTAGACGAATAGACTATACACTTTATGCACACACTCTCTCAAACACACATACAACACACAAGCACAAACTCGATTCGACATACTGATACCACCACACACACGCGTTGTGGTTGACACAGCTAACATACGCACTCACACAAAGCTGGGCAGAAAACCCCATGAGAAACAACAACATGTTCATAACGGGTTACCCTGTCTATCAATCTAGATAAGCGGCATAACTGACAAACCGGGAATGAGATATAACAGACCTAAGTATCCGCCTCCGACACCAACAAAATCTTCACAGCAATCGACCACATAGGCGAACAACACATCTCACGACATGCATGCTCACTTACTCCAGAAAAGAGTCGTTATGGAAATCTGAATACACTCGAATGATGACCATGACCATACAAACATAATAGGAGCACACCACAAAACCACCAACCACCTACTGCCAGTTAATATAACCATTATGAGAGGTAATACACCCGATCTGAACATAGCGTAACATAACCTGAAGGACCTGCGAGTTCTATATGAACGATCTTAATGTACCAATCATAGCAATCTGCTCAGAGACCTACGTGTCTCACTACCTGTTGGCTTATATGTCTCATATGCATGCATTGTGGAATTACATGTAAACAACAACAGTAAACATTATACCTCATCACACTATGATGGACAAGTACACAAACTGATACCAATCACATTTACAAAATTCATTGAGGACACTTCATCCCTCATAAAGCCACCGCACACGCACAGACGAATACTTGTTATTACTAATGGTTTACGAAATACGATTCAAAACTGTAATGTTTAACTCAAGCAGACCTGCGGACCTGCGAGTCCAATGCATACTAAGAATAACTACCAACAGTTCCTAACATTCTTGGAGGCCTGCGCGCCTCATTGTTTGAATTACTCAATTGTTCTATGTTAATGCTGTCATAAAAAAAATAACAAACAAACATTAAAAACCATATTTAGCTAAAACTTACAAGTAAATGTTAAAGGAACTTAACATGTATAGCTTGGAGGAAAGACGAGACGGGTAGAAACATTTAAATACCTAAAGGGAATCAACACAGTAAAGGAGGAGACTATATTTCAAAGACGAAAAACTACCACAACAAGAGGATATAGTCTGAAATTAGAGGGGCAAAGGTTTAAAAATAATATCCGGACGTATTGCTTTGCTGAGAGGGTAGTGGAAGCATGGAATAGCCTTCCAGCTGAAGTGGTAGAGGTTAACACAGTAAAAGAGTTTAAGCATGCGTGGGATAGGCATGAGCCTTATCCTAACTATAAGATAAGCTCAGGGACTAATGAAAGTATGGGGTAGACTAGATGGGCTGAATGGTTCTTATCTGCCATCACATTCTATGTTTCTATGACAGGTACAGAAAGAAAAAGCTAAATAAGCCTAAGATTTTGCAAAAGAGATGGGTAAAAACAAATTGCAATAGAATGAGTGCAAGAACAAGAATATTGGTTACATTGTGTAATAGAACAAGGTAATTAAGAAACCTTGTTTATGTAAGTAAGTATAAGGTATGTAAAAGGTTATAAGACTGACTGTGTTGATTGGATTTGTGCATGTAAACAGAGGGCACAGTCAGCCTCAACAAAGTAAGCTTGTGTTGTAGATCATTAAATTATTATGAAATTACGGAGAGGAAAATAAATCAGTTTTTCTGAGATTAAACTTCAAACGAGCAAATATCCAGATAAATAACTTTGAGATACTCCAACTGAAGATGGAGTAGAAAGGATAAGGTACCAAATAAGTAGATATTGAAAGAGTGGCATTAAAAGTAAAATGAGAAACGGGAAAGAGCAATATCAAGATGGCCTAGAGTATTTCACCCAATTAAGCGCCAACCATACGTTTTTACATTTTTTTTTTTTTCATTTTAAAAATACTTCACATAGAGTAGTATTCAATATACACAGTGAGGTTTTTTTTATTTCCTTCCTTGTTTTCCTGTGGAGCTGCCACAAGCAAGCTGCAAACTGATTATGGAAGTTAACTCTCAGTTACAGTTTGTTGTGATCAACATTTATTATTTGTATAGCAAAGGCTAGAAAGTGTCATATCACAGTGTAATACGCGTTCCACAAAAAGTCTACCAGTCCTCTTTAAACCAGCTATATTAAGGGAGGTATAGGTAGAATACCGAAGTGAAAGCTTTTTAAAACTTTAACTTGTAAAATACTAACTAAAGCAAGTGTATCTATTACTGAGCATATTCATTTTTTAAAACCAACATACAATAAAATCCTTGTTAAACCTAGTCACATTTAAAGTATCATTTCATAGATAAAGTATGACAAAATATGCAAAACAATTGATCAAAATAAAAGGATACTTACCTGTCAGGATTTGCAGCTTCCTACAGTGAGTTCTGCCCAAAACTATGAAAAAGCTGAGCCTGTCAGTGAATCTTAGCCTTCCATTGTTTATCATCCACACAACAAATGTTTATATGGCATGTAGTTCTATTCATTGGAAAATGAATGAGGCTGCTGCCCTTGCAGATGACAACTAAACCAAAGCTGCTATCAGTGTACGTCCATCTTGTGAACGTTGCTATGATGTGACCTCATATACACTAACAGATCCTTCATAAAAAAAAAAAAACTGCTGATTTTGAATATTTGCCCACTGTCAAAGAAATGATCAGTCTATTATTTTAATGATAGGTGTATTTTAACAGTGAGAGACAGAATTACAAAAAAAAAAAAAAAAGAAAAACGCAGGTCAAAAAAGTAAAACATTGATTTTCATGTCAATGAGTGAAATAAGTCTTTGACCCCTTCGACTTAGGTGACTTTTTTTTACCTAATCTGGCTTCCTCAGTTGGTAAATACTGTATAACCTAAGGTTCCGTCTTTTAAACCATCTTGATTGCAAAATCACCAGCATCTGTGATTTCCGGAAGTTCCACCTGTGGAACGCACGTTCCGTCTACTGGAACGCACGTTCCGTCCATCATCTGATCACTTGATTCAGTGGAATGCAACTTGTGTTTCTATTGATGTTATTACTTCCCCTCTCTCTATGGAATGCATGTCTGCGTTCCACTGACGTATTTTTAGATGGAGATGTCCATCAGATAGTTTCCAAATTATAGGTGGATCGCATGTGTGTTCCATTTAGTCCACAATAGAATATATAATATAACTTACATATTCATAAAAAATATAGAAGAAAAAAACATATAAAATCATTTAAAAATAGGTCGAAAGAGGAGTGCTTATGGCGAAACTTGTTTTGGACTGAACACTTTATTGATTTTTAAGTATTTTGATCAGATTTTTTTTTTATTTGTACCAATAAATATGTCTATCTACTAACACCCTCAAGTTTCCTGCCTTTACCTGCTGACAACTATCTGGGCTTTAAAGACACAGAAGAGGGCTGTGAATCTCCCTTAAGGATCCAAAGGCACTATACACAAGAGCCAGGCAACCTATTGGCTCTCTCCTTGCGAGTTGGAAATTTTTCACCCATATTTCCTTTTGTTTTTTTGCATCTTTTACAGATTTGTATTTGCTATTTTATCATCTTCACCCATCTCCAATTTTATTATTCAGGTATACCAGAGCTCCACTTATATTTTTCTTGTGTGTTTGATTTCATTGTGGGGGTTAAGGGGATCCCTCACATAAGTGTAGCCACTTTTTATCCACTTTTTATCCATTGTATTTTGTGTATTCTCTGTTTTCCACTCTATGTCTTACCTAGGAAACCCATCTGCTGATATTAGTACTGATATTCACAGAGAGTTTCCTAAAGGTTAGTGGTAGGGTTAGAATTTGGGTTACAGCATGATTAGAGTTAGTGTTGTGGTAGGGTTATGCTTAGATTTACATTTTTCTGTAGGGTTAGGGTTAGTATAGGATTAGTATAAATATAATGCTGAGTTATTGCTCTGAGGGCTATGAATAGTGTATATATATTTAATACATATGTTATATATAAAAGGGATAGTGTAGGGTTAAGAGTAAGGCTAGATTAGATTTATGGTTAGTGTATGCATAGGTTTAAGTGTGTGGCTGGTGTTGCTTTAGGTGGGGATTGGTTTTGGGTTAGCATTAATATATAGAAATGTATTTATATCATAGACATATTAGGCATTTAACAATCAGTACTGGTATGTGAATGTATTTCGAGTTTTTATTTAGTTGCACTAGATGTGTAAAAAATATTATAAGCAAAAATGTGAAATTAATTTTTTCACATTTTTAACAGTTGTATTCACACTTAATGATGTGTTGGGTAGACATATAATATAATATGTAAATGAGTACTTAAATTATCGCTGAACAAATACAAAATATAGTTAATAACTTACCTTTGGAATTGATGGCTTTTTCCAATGCAATGACATCTTGAGAAGCATCAAATTTTGGACGAGGTTTAAATCCCGAACTATCCTGCGCTGACTCCTATAATGACAATTAATGAAAATAGTGGGATATTATTATGGTCAGGTCAACAAATGAAAGGACTTTTGTTTTGCACATGAAACACACAGATCTTTGCATAAATAGTCTTGCTTATGCCACGGATGCCAAATATAAACTTGCCAAAAGGAGGATTCTGGAGTTGTAAGGTGTGACATCATATTTTCCATCAACTTACATTAATACGGCTTTTCGCACACAGCATTCATAGACAATTATACAGACGCAGACTGGTTTCTACCACTCCATTAGCACCATTGGCATCCTTTCTGTTATTAATTTTATCAGAATTGATACAAACACATCTAGAGATAATATACATTCTCATTATCACCTGGAAGCCAGGTCAACTCCAGATACTGCAGCCCTTTGGTAAACATCCCAGTGAGAAAGTCCAAACCTAGATTTCATTAGATTTACTAGCCACCAGCATATTTACAAACCCAAATAGAGCTTGTCAAAAACACTGACGTTTTGAATTAATATAGTTTCATACCTATTTTCTTCATATGAATAGTGGCAGTTTAATTTGGGTCCTCAGGAATTAGGTTATTTTCTATATACATAAATAGAGTTTTACTTACATTTGAGGTAACGTGCTTTTGCTGGCTGGACTGTAGTATTTGTTGAATTACAGAGCTGGTTTGCTGCTCCATTGCCATTTTTCTAAAATTACAAGTGAAATTAATCAGTTATTACACATGTTTGTTGCCTTTAGATAATCTGGTATAAATCATGAGAATTATAAAGTTTATAGCAACTAGACTTTTTTTTAAGAGAAAAAAAATGGTTCGACCAAATCGATTTGTATGAAAACACTTTTTTGTTCAGGTGGTCCAGAATTTGTCCAAGTGACATCTAGGATCAGACAAATTTTGACCTGGCATTCATTTTGGGAAAAACTATTCAAATGAACCAGAAGAATGTGAATGTGGGACAATCAGTGTACTGCAAAATATATACATAAAGTAAATATTATGTATATTTTTTGCAGTACACTGATAGGCATGCATTTCCAGTCTGGTTCACAGGTCAAGTAAGAAAAATGAAACAATAGTAGAAAAAAGAATAGGAGATGTAAAAATCTATATTTATACCATGTATATTAAAAATTTCATATATAAATATTTTTTACTGTTCCTACAGGGAGTGCAGAATTATTAGGCAAATGAGTATTTTGACCACATCATCCTCTTTATGCATGTTGTCTTACTCCAAGCTGTATAGGCTCGAAAGCCTACTACCAATTAAGCATATTAGGTGATGTGCATCTCTGTAATGAGAAGGGGTGTGGTCTAATGACATCAACACCCTATATCAGGTGTGCATAATTATTAGGCAACTTCCTTTCCTTTGGCAAAATGGGTCAAAAGAAGGACTTGACAGGCTCAGAAAAGTCAAAAATAGTGAGATATCTTGCAGAGGGATGCAGCACTCTTAAAATTACAAAGCTTCTGAAGCGTGATCATCGAACAATCAAGCGTTTCATTCAAAATAGTCAACAGGGTCGCAAGAAGCGTGTGGAAAAACCAAGGCGCAAAATAACTGCCCATGAACTGAGAAAAGTCAAGCGTGCAGCTGCCACGATGCCACTTGCCACCAGTTTGGCCATATTTCAGAGCTGCAACATCACTGGAGTGCCCAAAAGCACAAGGTGTGCAATACTCAGAGACATGGCCAAGGTAAGAAAGGCTGAAAGACGACCACCACTGAACAAGACACACAAGCTGAAACGTCAAGACTGGGCCAAGAAATATCTCAAGACTGATTTTTCTAAGGTTTTATGGACTGATGAAATGAGAGTGAGTCTTGATGGGCCAGATGGATGGGCCCGTGGCTGGATTGGTAAAGGGCAGAGAGCTCCAGTCCGACTCAGACGCCAGCAAGGTGGAGGTGGAGTACTGGTTTGGGCTGGTATCATCAAAGATGAGCTTGTGGGGCCTTTTCGGGTTGAGGATGGAGTCAAGCTCAACTCCCAGTCCTACTGCCAGTTCCTGGAAGACACCTTCTTCAAGCAGTGGTACAGGAAGAAGTCTGCATCCTTCAAGAAAAACATGATTTTCATGCAGGACAATGCTCCATCACACGCGTCCAAGTACTCCACAGCGTGGCTGGCAAGAAAGGGTATAAAAGAAGAAAATCTAATGACATGGCCTCCTTGTTCACCTGATCTGAACCCCATTGAGAACCTGTGGTCCATCATCAAATGTGAGATTTACAAGGAGGGAAAACAGTACACCTCTCTGAACAGTGTCTGGGAGGCTGTGGTTGCTGCTGCACGCAATGTTGATGGTGAACAGATCAAAACACTGACAGAATCCATGGATGGCAGGCTTTTGAGTGTCCTTGCAAAGAAAGGTGGCTATATTGGTCACTGATTTGTTTTTGTTTTGTTTTTGAATGTCAGAAATGTATATTTGTGAATGTTGAGATGTTATATTGGTTTCACTGGTAATAATAAATAATTGAAATGGGTATATATTTGTTTTTTGTTAAGTTGCCTAATAATTATGCACAGTAATAGTCACCTGCACACACAGATATCCCCCTAACATAGCTAAACTAAAAACAAACTAAAAACTACTTCCAAAAATATTCAGCTTTGATATTAATGAGTTTTTTGGGTTCATTGAGAACATGGTTGTTGTTCAATAATAAAATTAATCCTCAAAAATACAACTTGCCTAATAATTCTGCACTCCCTGTATAGTTTCCTGTATTGGTCACTTTTTACTTGATCTCTTGATCCGTGAATAAAATCAATATTTAGTGGCTGACTCCTAACAATAAATCATCTTCTTTCACACTGGCAGAACACCAAATCACAAAACATATTTTAACCATATGGTGCTTTAGAGTTACAGAATTCAGACAACCCTCCAAATGTCCAAAATTAATTTCAAACCAAATGCACAAGTGTAAAAACAGCCAAAAATGCTTTGACAGAAAGAACCAAGTAGAAGAAGTCATTTTTGAGAGGCCTGCTCACAATCTGTCATCATTCCTGTTTTTATGTACATTTGTATGTGCGTTAGTCCAGTGTTAGGTGAGGTAAAACCATCAGGCAACAAAGTGCGAATGATAATTAGACAATGTCCCATGGGCACTAAGACTCACAGAACTCGTTTTGTAGTCCGGGGAGCTGTCTGTTAGTTTGGAACGCTTGATGCCAGGCTGACATGCCTCTTCAGTTGGCTGGCCCAGGTAGCTCATTATGGGCACCATCAGTGATAAATGTTGCATCAGTTGTGATGCTCTCCTAAAAGTCTGCACACCCATCTCGATTCCATACCTATCAATGATTGGAGGTATGACCTACCCTTCTCCGAATCCAAACAGTTCTTTTAACGTAAAAAATTAATTACACCTGTATAGGAAAGAACTACATAAAATTGACACTGTAACAATATGATAAATCTAGTAAAAACAAAACATGTGTTTGCAATTTGTAATATTTATTAAAGTTGTCTGTAAAAAACCTCAATAAAATTGTATAATCATAGATGGATAAATGCTAACACTGGAGTTACATTCCAGCATTAATTCCCATCTACTACTCTTCCTCTAGTACCTTTCAAAATCAAGAGAAACAACAGCACAAAAGAGTAACTAAATAGCTGTGCTTAAATAAAACTGGGCCTTAGATAGCTTATGGTTTAGATATAATGGCAATGAACTCAAAACCACTCCTTTTTCTTGGCATACAGGCAATGAAAATACACACACAAAAACATTAGAAATGAACAAGTACAGGAATTAAACAAAAGAAAAGATACTGCAGACCATACAAATGGGTCCATAATCATTTTTCTATTTTCAAAGATGTTTCCACATAATTGCCCCATTTTTACACACGCATGGTAACAAACCCTTTGATTCAAGACTTCCCATCTGCGTTCTACATCCCTCTGACTTTTCAAAATTATGTTTTATTTAACATTTTGGCACTTAAAATCATTAAAGTGATAAATAAATAAAGTGTTTTTACTTTGTCAAATCTACTTATTTATTCCAGTAGGTATGCAAAATTTTTCCATATAAATGCGTACAAGTTTTATAGATGAACAAATGCTTTCTTTGAACATGTTCAGTCATGTAATGAGGAGGAATAAAAATTCCTTCTGCTGCAGGCATTGTTAGTAAAGCTTATTTTCTATCTTTTTGGCACTAAGGATAAAACTTTAATCCATTGCAACATATAACCAGGGCCATCTGGATTCCAGCAACAGCCAGATTAGTTCTTTTAGCATGTCACAATGGTGGGTCCTGTAATTACATTGTAGTGCAAATCGGCAGAAGGAGTTCTACAATGTTTTGAGTTTATTAATGTGGGATTGCGGTAAAGATGCATATACTACATCCCCATAATCAATGATTGGCATCAGCATTTGCTGTACAATCTTTTCCTTTACTGTAGGGCTTAGGCAGGATTTGTTTCTGTACAGGGCACCTAGTTTTGGATAAAGTTTAGATGCAAGTTTTTCTATGTGGAGGCCAAAATATAGATTGGGGTCTAACAACATACCCAAGTATTTGAAAGAGTGGACTGCGGTCAGTGAGCTATTTGAATTTGTTTTGATGGATAGGTAGGAATTGTGTAATTTGTGTAATTTAGGGACTGTTCCAAAGATCATTGTGACAGTTTTGTCACTGTTTAGGAAGAGTTTGTTTTTTGCGATCCACTTTTCTACTTCTGTAAACTGGTCTTGGAGCATAGCCGCAAGCTGCGGTAGATTGGATTTGCTCGCATAGATTACTGTGTAATCTGCATACATGTGTACATTTGAGGATTTGCAGACATTAGGCAGATCATTTATAAATAATGTGAATAGTAGGGGGCCGAGAATGGAACCTTGGGGAACACCACACATGACTAGGAGAGGGAGGGAGTCGCTGTCAGAAATGGACACATATTGCGAGCGATCCGATACATCCGATCGAAACCAGGTTAGCGAACAATCACCAATACCTGAGTTTTTGAGTTTGTGCAGTGGATAGATAGACAGACATATTTTCAGCTGTTTGCAATGAACACATCAAACAAAAGCAATTTAAATAGCTCAACACAATGAATTCTTAAAGTAGTTTCCACAAATTAAACTGAAATGCAATCTGAATAGAATTCCTTACAACAGCACAAATATGCAAAACAGGTGTTGTCTCAAGCACACCTGCTGCAACTAATCCAGGGCTTCATTAGATACACCAGGTGTGCTTGAGCTGGAACATTTGAAATACTGGAACTGGCTAGGGGTTTGTTGAGTGTCACATTTGACTGATTGCCTTTCACAAACAAGAAACAGGATACAAAAAGATAGCAAAGGCACTGAATGTTCCTAGAAATACCATTGGAAGTATAGTTTACAAGTTCAAAGTTGAAGGAATAGTGTTTACACTACTTGGACAGGGCAGAAAAAGGAAACTATCAATGGCTGCAACCAGATTTCTGAGAAGGCAGGTTGTGAAAAACCTTTGAGTGACTGCAAAAGACCTGCAGCAAGACTTGGTGGCAACAAGCGCTGAAGTTTTAGCTAGCAGCTGAAAGGCATGTATTAAACACAGAAGGTTTCCGTGTTAGAACTCCAAGATGTACTCCATTACTGACCCAAAAGTACAAGAAAGATCGGCTCCAATATGCTCAAAATCATATAAATAAGCCACAGAAGTTTGGGGTTTTCATGGAGAAATGATACAAATCTGGAACTTTTTAGCCCAATGGATCAGCTGTATGTCTGGAGAAAGAATGACAAAACAGCTCTGCCTACAGCTGAGCATGGTGATGGCTAAGTGATATGTGATACTTTATGACTGCTTTGCATCCTCTGACACTGGAATCTTGTGGGAATCCTAAGAGAAAATGTCATGCTGTCTGTGAGGAAGCTGCAGCTTGCGCGTTATTGGACCATTCAACAAGACAATGAACTCAAACATACCTCAAATTCCACCAAGGCCTGGTTGCAGAAGATGTCCTTGAAAATCCTACAGTGGCCATCACAGTCACCTGACTTGAGACCTATAGAAAAATGTCTGGTGGGATTTGAAGAAGGTGGTTGCAGCACACAAACCCAAAAATATTACTGGACTGGAGGCCATTGAATGTGTTAAGAATCCTCAGAAATCCGCTGCCAGAAGCTGGTATCTGCCTATGCATCTCATTTGCAGCAGGACATAATAATTGCTTGCAATGAAGGGGTTGAATAATTTTGAGACTGGAGAAATCATTATAAGTTGCATTTTCCATTGAATTTGGGGAAACCACTTGAAGCACTCATTGTCTTAACCTACTTCAATTGCTTTTTAAAAATTTGTTCATTAAAAACAGTTGGAAGTCTGGAAAGGTTGACAATAAACCATATTTTCAATAGGGGTTGAATAATTTTGATTACAACTGTAGATATACACTGATCAGCCACAACCTTAAAACCAAAACAGCTCTGATGCTTTGAGGCATAGACTCCACAAGACCTCTGAACACCCCCGGTTGTATCTGGCACCAAAAATTGGCACTACTTGAAGTGAGGTAGGGCCTTCATGGATTGGATTTGTTGTTTCAGCAAATACCCCAGATGCTCAATTAGATTGAGGTCTGAGGAGTTTTGAGGTCAAGGCAACATCCTGACCCAGTCGTCTAGCCATCACTATTTGGTCTTTGTCAAAGTCATTCAGATATTTTCGCTATTTTGATATTTTATGTAATTCAAGAACTGACTGTTGACTTGCTGCCTTATATGTCCCACACCTTGACCGGTGCCTTGACATTGATATAGTCAATGTTATTCACTTCACCTGTCAGTGGTTTTAATATTGTGGCTGATCAATACACACATATATATATATATATGTGTGTGTGATGGTAGTCACCATCACTGGGGATGGAAGACAGACACTATATGTAGATATGTAGGTCACCATGTGCCCATTTTTGGTTCAGGGTATGTTGAATGTATTGATTGTCCAGGTTGTATGTGTCTTTTTCCCTCCCCCTTTTTCCTGTCCTATTGTTTTCCCAACATGGCATTGTCCCATTGTTCCAGGGACACTGCCTGACCAGTTCAAACTTCCTTCCTTGTACTATAGTACTCTATTCACCCTATTGTATTTAAATAAGGCTGTTGGAGGCATAAATATGTGTGCTGTGTGTATTAAAGTTAGTTGTTGTTTTGACCTTCACCAAGTGTTATCTGGTGTTTGGGAAAAGAGCTCTGATTATTGCTCTGCTGATGAAAAGGTACCTAGGACTTCAATTCCAGTAGGCTGGTATAGGGGGACAGGGCCCTCAGCAATCCCAGTCAAGCCTCGGCGACTGGGTCTGAAGTGCTCCAGGTTCCCTGATAGTTGCAAGGCAGCGGACTTGGAGGAGGTACTCAGTACTGGTGCTCTATCACATATATATATATAAAACCAAACTGAAATCTGTCCCTGGTCAGTCAGAAGCTTTGGAAAATTAACCATTTACTGGAACTGAAGATTGCACAGTGGAAAAAACTGAATGCAGTTACGATAATAAAAACACTTGAAACACCATAATCTCTTGAGCACGAAAGTAGCATTGAGCAGTAAAGTAGAGAGACTGTACTGTATTTACTGCATATATTAACCGGTCACATGGGACACTACTAAAACAACCCCTATGCCTCCAATCATTTTGTGATTGTTCTAGTCATCCCAAACGTCAGTTATCGTTACTTTCTTATTTGAATATCTGACTCTCTCCATGTCTTTATAACTGCATATCTCCTGCAAGCATTGGTCCTTTTTTGGCAGAGACAATTCTGTCATCTCTCCATGTCCTAGGCCATGAACTGTTATTCACTGCATGTTGAATACTTAAATCCATCGACTTTTTCTTGGTATAGTTGGCATTGCAAGCTTGTCTTACAGCAAAAAACAAAATGTGTAAACCTTATTACAGAGGTGACCCCTTATAATAAAATGTGTCATTTTGAAAAAAATGAATGTGTGTATGCCATGGATTTGGAAACATATTTTGCAAATAAGTATTAACTTATTATAACCCAGAGAAGAGATATTTGTGTTGATGAATTAGACTTTTCAGTTTATAATTGTGTTGCTTACCTATAAAATTCTCAATGTTTATGCCTCAATCTACTTGTTCTCACAGAATCAAAATTAAAACAAGATATAATGTCCCACCTAACTTGGGTCCTCTTTGTATTCACAATTCCCAGCATATGCGTCTCCTATTTGTCAGATAATATTAACAGACATATACTGTCTTCATACATTTTTACTTTTAATAGAATGCACTTTCTCTATGTTCCCTTTGTACAACATTGAGTAATATATTGGCATGGTATAAACAATAATTACTGTTCTATTTTTTTTCACACGGTCTGAAAATTAAAATGCTTTGTTATGCTTCTTCTCTTGGGTAACACCCATGGGATAGGTTTTTGGATTTATTTGTACATCCTTTAAAATATTATTTAAATATTACTTAAAAAGCATGGATATCTGAATAACTGGTTCATATATATATATATATATATATATATATATATACTTCCAAAGATGGTCAGCACTCAGATAGCTTACTTTCTGTTAAAACTTAGCTTTGATATGTAGAAATTGAGAAATGATGCAATATTAAAATTGTGCAACACACAGGTTATTTCACCTAAAGCATTTTCTTGTATTGCCTAATTGTTTTCTTGTATGCGTCCTTATACATGAATGACTAATTAATGAGGGATTGTTTGGAAATAATGAAGTTCTGCCAGTTTTGTGTTTCTTTCATTAGTTGTGTACGTACAAATTCTTAATGATCTGCAGTGAAAAACAATATTATGGCTTTTCAGTCATAGTTCAAGTTTAAGAATAAGATTTTTAAGAACATACAACATCTTATGCTGGACCAAAAGAATGCTGTACTATGTCTATTTTTAATTGTTACATAGCAACCATTTTATGAGATGATTTCCATACTATGGATATTTTCAACTCTTTTTAAATGTAAAGGAATACCATAGTGTCAGGAATACAAACATGCATTCCTGACACTATAGTTGTAAAATCGCTTAGTTTTCTGTCACCCTCTAAATCCCCCCTGTTAAAAAGGTGTTTTAATTACTTTATTTCCAGCACCATGCTGATCCTAATTCGGCTAGATCCGCCTTAATGGCTGAGATCATCAAAGTTGTCGATTTCAGCCAATCCAATGCTTTCCCCTAGGAAAGCATTGCATTGGAAGGCAATTGCACATGTGCATAAAAATGCGGCGCCAATCAGCATTTCCTTATAGCAATGCATCAAATTAATGTAGGTATGCTGAGCAGAGGTGTTTCTAGGCAGTAATATAAACACTGCCTTTTCTCTGAAAAGCAGTGTTTACACTAAAAAGCCTGCAGCGACAGGCAGTAGACACCAGAACAGCTACATTTAGATGTTGTTGTTCTGGTGACTAAAGTGCCCCTTTTAGCTAGCAAAGTTGGAAAAATAGATTAACAGGAAAATGTCTCCAATTCAGCCACACCGGCTTAAAGGAACAATATAGTATAAGGAATACAAATGAATTACTTAAACAAGTGATGGAGTGGCTCTTTAAATGGCTGGTCCCCTCTCTGTGGAGATTATAGGTAATTCTACTCACCTTTTCTCTCATGTCATGCCAATCTCACTGCCTCCATGGCTGAGATCTTCAATCTTGATTATCTCAGCCAAACCAATGCTTTCCCATAGGAAAGTATTGGGAGGCTATTGCGCATGTGCAGCAAAACACCATGCTGTGCCAATCAGCATATCCTCGTAGAAATGTATTGAATCAATGCATCTCTATGGGGAGCATTCAGTGTCTCCATACAGAGCATAGAGATGCTGGACAGCAGTGCTGCAAACTGTGCAGCACTGGACTATGAAGCACCTTGTCTGCCTGTCTGAGTGACTACCACTAGAGATATTACTAGCCATCAGTGCAAACACTGCATTTTCTTTTCTATTTGAAAAGGCAGTGTTTACAGTACCAGCACTGCAGGGACAGGCTATAGACACTTGAAGAACTACATTAAGCTGTACCGGTTCTGATGGCTATAATGTCCCTTTACGTTTTGCAATTAGATTTTCAATACACTGCAGTTCACTGTTAGTGAATAACACCAAAGAGACACTTGGGGATGGATAAACCTTTGCAGGACAATCCAAGCACCATAATATTACACTAAAATACATTAAAGGACCACTATAGTGCCAGGAAAACATACTCGTTTTCCTGGCACTATAGTGCCCTGAGGGTGCCCCCACCCTCAGGGTCCCCCTCCCGCCGGGCTGGATGGCAAGGAAAGGGGTTAAACTTACCTTTTTTCCAGCGCCGGGCGGGGAGCTCTCCTCCTCCTCTCCGCCTCCGATCCTCCTCTTCGGCTGAATGCGCATGCGCTGCAGGAGCTGCGCGCGCATTCAGCCAGTCTCATAGGAAAGTATTCACAAGGCTTTCCTATGGACGCTGGCGTCTTCTCACTGTGATTTTCGCAGTGAGAAGCACGTAAACGCCTCTAGTGGCTGTCAATGAGACAGCCACTAGAGGCTTTAGAGGCTGGATTAACCCATTTATAAACATAGCAGTTTCTCTGAAACTGCTATGTTTATAAAAAAAAAAAAAGGGTTAATCCTAGAGGGACCTAGCACCCAGACCACTTCATTAAGCTGAAGTGGTCTGGGTACCTAGAGTGGTCCTTTAATAACATCATGCCAGTTTAAATGTTTCAAACTAGAGCAATATGCACCAATATACCCATTATTATTATTAGCATTTTCATGGTACCAACATATTCATCAGCATCTTACAAGGAGAGAAAAAAGATATGTATACATAAAGCAAGCCCTACTAAAACAAGCATACATTCAATGAGGATACTGGCTATATATTTTGTAAAAGGAAAACTATATATTGCCAGGAAAACAAACTTGACAAACTAAAACCCCCTTCTGTCACTTACCTCAGTTCAGCACCGATGTCCCTTGGCACTGGCTTTGCTCCTCCTTTGCTTTCCTATGGATGCTGGCGTCTTCTCACTGTGAAAATCACAGTGAGAAGAGCGGAAGCCCTCTAGCGGCTGTCAATGAGACAGCCACTAGAGGCTGAATTAACCCATTTATATTTCTTTGAAACTGCTATGTTTATAGAAAAAAAGGTTAAACCTAGCTGGACCTGGCACCCAGACCACTTCATTAAGCTGAAGTGGTCTGGGTGCCTATAGTGGTCCTTTAAGTGCAAACTGTGAAAAGGACACAATGTGTAAAAGGATTTAGAGTCATGATTGTAAACATGTAATGATCTTAATAAACTGGCATGTAGACTTTTAAACTTTCACCTACTGTCTTGAGTGCTTGGATCCATTTGTCTAAATATCAGAAAAGTTATTTCATTCTGCTAAAAAAAATACATATATTTTCCTTTTCCTTTAGTAATGTGTAGATTTCTAAATGACCCATTCTTTCATCAGACACAACTATCTTTGTAATTATCACAGTATTAAAAATAATATACATAATAAATGCTCACTTTGCCAAATAACTATTATGTTAAAATTAAATTATATTTAATTTTATTTTGTGTTTATTTGATAGAATTCCACACTGATGTTATACCATAATGCATCATTTTAGATGCACACTGCTTTTCAAAAAAGTGGTATTAACAATTTTGATTACATTTTTTTTAAAGATGTAATAGTTTGAAAAACTTATAAAGACTGCATTGAGTATTCATTGAAATTTAATTTTGCATCTCTCTATAGATTGCAGTTATGTTTAAATTAGCAATTTTCATAAGTATTTTTTAATTGAAATAGATTCAGAAATAATATAACATGTTTTAAAGTCTTTAAACATGCAGCAATTCACTCAATGGGTAAAACATACCTCTTGTCTGATGATCACCTTCTTTCTGATATGCCAAGCCAAACACCTTTGCATTTTATACTTGTTAGGGGCCACACCTATGATGTAAAAATGCTTTAGGAACCGATTGACAGATCACTCATAAAAGCTTAAAGTATAAATCCCATCCTGAAAAATATCTTTCAAATGTAAAATAATGTTAGAATGCATTTAGAGTTTAACTAATATTAACAAAGATGCTAATTTTGCTTTCTAGTTTGTGCTTATATTTCATATTTTTTAAAAGTTCAAATTTTTATTCTTAAAAAAGATTCTTCTAGATTGCTATAGTATATACTGGTATTGTAACATTATCTCTATAAGATGTAGTTACTGTAAGATACTTTTTCAGTTTGCCTTCAACTCAAGTCAGAAAGTGTACACCTTTCAAATGGTCTTTTCACCCAAATTTGAGACCTATTAGGGGCCAGACAGTCAGTGAAGCATCATAACTTTTAAAAGAAGTGTGATAAAATAAAGAAGATAATAACATGAACAATTAATATATATTACAGTTAATGTAAAATACATCTATTTGAAGGCCTTGTAAAAGTCCATATGATGAAGCATTGGAAGTATGAAGAGGGAAATCAACATTATGTCAGAGAATAAATTAAGGTCAGGCCACTCATGGGCCAGTGCATTAATAAGTAATTGTTTCCATGCTTAATTTTGTTTTAATTTGTGCACATAGCTTTACTTTGTAGTCTTTTTTGATTCCTGAGGTTTGTCTACACTCTTAGATGTCAGTTTACATGAGCCTGATGATGTAATAATTAGCTTTGTGACAAAGTAACACCAACTACATTGGATGAGGCAATTTAAAAGCAGCTAGAGAAGTATTCAGCCAAGGTGCCAATAAATACAGTTACTATTTCAGTGAGTAAAACGTACAAATTGAAAGTGACACCTTTATAAGAAACCATAGAAACTGTGATAAATGTATTTATTTACTTAATGGTGCTGTGAAGACAAATGTGCAAATAGGAAATATTAGACTGGATGTTCACCATTGCACTTTTTTCAGACATCATTAAAATAACTATTTTTTAAACTTAGTGCCATTACCAATCTTAATTAATTTGTATTTGCCACTTATTTATGGGCTTGTGTGGAGGTAGTGGGGAGTTGTGTGTAGAGTCCTTTTCCTATACCCCTTTTACATTTCAATAATACGATATGAGACATAATTGGTGAAAATAGGCCACAGCTTTTTTTAATTAAAATATGTAACCAAACAATATTACCAATATTAATTTTATATATATAATCTTTTAATAATTTGAACATCAAACAATAGAACTTAACAATATAGATTAACAATGTTCCATAAACATACCAGCCATTGCCAATCAATTATTCTTAATCTCAGAACTCACCTGGGCACTTGCCCTCCCCTCTCGTCCCAACCAACACTGGCCACAAAACATGGCCTTCACCAACACCATGCTAACCGCTAGCCGACCTTTGGCTCAGTGGGCGCATCCATAAAAAAATACCTTAATTTCACAGAGGCTGGGGAGGGATCACCCCCACTTTTCTTCACACCCGTTGGACTCCCCCAGTCCAACCCACGATTGGCAAGGACAACCACCGACCTGCTGTGACAAAAGGCAAATGAGAAAACAGCAAAACATAAACAAAAGCAACAACCTAACTAACGGGAGGGAGGGTTAGTTTTCCTAGCCCATTATAAAATGGTAGGCGGGAGTACAGAACATGTCTTCTATTTATACCCCTCACCCTGCCAATCACTTACTGCTGACCACACCCAGTCCCACCCTATCACTCTTTCCTACACAACCCCCACACTCACACATGTTCCTTGATCCGAATAGCTTTGCCTTCCTCCTCAGGTTCTTGTGTGGAAGTAGTGGGGAGTTGTGTGTAGTGCCAACCCACAATTAACAAGGACAACAACCCGCCACAAGACCCTGCTGTTTTACCACCTAATATCAACGGGGGTGACCACCCAGAAAACTTATGGCCTGTTCCAACCCTTCTTGCAACGCCCAATTAAAAAGATCCAACTTCACATCAGTAAGGTGAACCCCATCACTCCTAAAGGACATAGCTGCCTCCCAGGGCCGGCGCTACCTGTTAGGCGGACTAGGCAGCCACCTAGGGAGCCCCTTGGGAATGGGCGCCGCCAGGAGCGCCAGCCCCCCTCATGCTGCAGCCGCCCGAGTGCTCTGTAGAGAGCCTCAGGCGGCTGCAGCTTTGCCCTGGCTGGTGCGTCCATGAGGGCGCACCGCCCGGGTGCAGCATGAGGAGAGGAGCTGACAGGAGGGAAGCGCTCAGCGCTCCCTCCTGTCACTCCCTCACTGTAGCGTGGCCGATCCCTGTATGCGGGTACAGGGAGCATCTGTCTCCTGTACCCGGCCAGACTAACACTGAGTGTGCACTTCCTTTTTGTCCGGCTGGGTACAGGAAACAAAAGCTCCCTGTACCCGTGGACCATACAGAGCTCAGCCACGCTACAACAGAAGTAGGGGAGGGGGGAGAAATAAATTGACAGGGAGGGGGGGAGAAAGAAATTGACAGGGGGGAGAAAGAAATTGACAGGGAGAGGGAGGAGAAATAAATGAGAGGGAGAGGAGAGAGGGGGAGAAAGAAATTGACAGGGGGGAGAAAGAAATTGACGGGGGAGAGAAAGAAATTGACAGGGGGGAGAAAGTTGACAGGGAGGGGGGAGAAAAAGAAATTGACAGGAGAGGGGGAGAAAGAAATTGACAGGGAGGGGGGGAGAAAGAAATTGACAGAGAGAGGGGGAGAGAAAGAAATTGATGGGGAGGGAGAAGAGAATTGACAGGGAGAGGGGGGAGAAAGAAATTGACAGGGAGAGGGGGGAGAAAGACGGGGGAGGGAAGGGGAGGGGGAGAAGAGAGGGACAAGGGAGGGAGAGGGGGAGAAGAGAGTGACAAGAGAGGGGGGAGAGATTGACATCCATCACACACACACAATCACACACAATGCACCCCTTACACACAAAGACAATGCACCCCTTGCACACAGAAAAACACACAATGCATTACACACACAATGTATTACACACACAGACACACATACACAAGCAATGCAACCCTTACACACAATGCATCCCTTACACACACAGAAACACACAATGCATTCCTTACACACACTCAATGCACCCCTTACAGACGCACACACTGCATCCCGTACATACACAGAAACACACCTTGCAGCCCTTACACATACAAACACAGATTCACACAATGCATTCCTTACACACATATCAGGACATCCCCTACACACTCCACCCCCTGTGAACAAACTCATTGGTGAAACATGAAGGTGGACCCTGGGACCCAAGCCTTGAGCTGTGTAAAGGGCCCCAAAAAATGGAGCTGCTTCCCGTTCTCCCAGAACATTGATTTTTGTGACCACAGTTACAAACCGCCTCCAGAGAGCCTGTTCTACACCAGACCAGTGGAGCCAGACTGCAGCTAGAGCCCATCATCATCCTCATCTGGTTGTAAGTAGGCAATCTAGTATATTATTCGTGGCACTAATCTCTAATTTACCTCACATTAAAGAAACACTATAGTCCCCAGAACCACTGCAGCTTAATGTAGTGGTTCTGGTGTCTATAGCCTGTCCTTGCAGGCTTTTTAATGTAAACAGGGCGGCACTGCAGCACTGGCGTTAGTTAACATGGCAGATCATATGGGTGGGGCATTGTGATGTCACATGGGGGGGCAGCAAACTTTACTTTTGCCTAGGGCGGCAAAAATCCTTGCACCGGCCCTGCTGCTTCCTGTTCAAACATCCGATGCCGCACCATAAAGCCCCCAACTCTCAATACAAACCTAGAAACCCATCTACTGAGCTTCACCTGACATCAAACCATGGCTCTCTGAACCCTGGCATACCTCCAACAATTACAGGGCACGAGCTCGGACCACACCAGACAGAGGTCGGGAAACAGCACATAAATATTGACCAAGTCCTGCAAAATTAAATCAGAAAATTCCCTCATGGGAATCTTGCCAGATCGTTGCCCCCAAGATGGATGATCAGCATGTCAGGAAGTTCACCAGCTCCAGAACCAGCTGCACCTCCACCGTTGTCAGGGACAGACCAAATTAACAGTAGATGTACGAGTGCCCGATCACCCACACATGCTAAGCTGACCCTACGGAGACACAACAGGGGGAAACGCAATCAGACCACAGGGCCGAACATAACTCCTGAACCTCCCCGATTCCCAGCGCCCAATTCTAATTTTCCCAGCTTGCTCAGAAAACCCGAGGCACGACGACCTCCGTAGCATCCCTGAAGCAGAAGGAATGCCCCCCAAACTCTGAACTCGGGATGCCCTATAAATCGACCCATACTCCATGCCCCAGCACATCCCTCGTAGAACGGCGGATCAAAAATTGAACCGATGCAGTCTTGCAATAGAGATCCTGGTACCAGACACCCCCTGAAACTTGCCTAGATGGGCTAACCAACTCCCCAATCAGAAACACCCCAAAAAAGGCAAGAGTAAAGGTGAACAGAAAGAGCACCACCTTGAAATCAAAAGCACACCACCGGCAGAACCAAAAACAGACCCAAAAGCAAAGCCCCGGAAACGCGTCTGCGCGAGTCGGGGGCCCTAGGGCCCCTCCTCCACCCTTTCATTGCCAACGTAACCATCACGTCCTGAACCCTGGACAATTTGAGCCAGAAACTGAGCCCCAATAGTTTAGCCGAGACCTAAGCCAGCAATCACCGTGAAGCTTCCCAAAAGGAGTTGCAGCAACCCAGTGAGACGATCCCCAGTAGTATAAAACCCATCCCTGGCCTGTGTGAAAGCTGACCATTCCCCCTAAGCCTTACCATACTGGGACCAAGTAGTCTCCAAGACTGATGCCTGAATCCCAGCTGCTACATGGTCTGCCCAAGGGACCACAGGCAGGGGCAGGGGAACCCGACTGCATTTGCCTCGGGTGCGGCCGCATGAAACTCCCGCCACTGCAAACAAGAGAGGGCATCCACTGTAACAACCCCAGGATGAATCACCCTGCAAGCAATATTCAGAGACAAACAGCGC